CCTTCCAGGCTTCCAACCAGCTGAACTATAATTTCTGACTCCAGACCTCATTCATATTTAGGACAAACTGGATAAATTCTACAAAACTGAAAAGGTGGGCTTAACTAGCAGATTATCATTCTTTCAGATGGAAGGGCTGGTGATGGAGTCCCAGGTGGGCAGACAAGGTTCTGATGCTTGGCTATCGGTGCGGTGATCTGTTCATTCGAGCCAAGGGGAGCGTTTGTCCTGCTGCTCATCACAGACAGCACTCCCATTCTTTTGAATCAACTGCGTCTACCTGTTACGATGGAAACACTTTGCCTCTGAATCATTCCTTTTCCCAAATGGATTCAGCCCATGAGTAACTTATTAAAGATCTGCACAGATTCTCTCTTAGCCAGTCAGAGTGAAAATGAAAAAAAAGCCAATGTCCCTTGTGTTTAAAGTGCTGCTGTATTAGTGCTGCATTATGTTTTTATAATGTGAGTTTGGGAAAAGAAAAACAGTTTACTGTACTGCTAGGACCCATTACAAATGAAGAAGATTATCTTTGACTCCTTTCAGAGGTTTGAGTACTTCAGAGTAAGATGGAGTGTCATGGTCACCATACAGTGTTTGACAGTGACCATTTGCAAATAATTATCGTTACCATGGCATTCCCCATATAAAACCTCAGTCCATTTAATCATGTGCAGTGGCAACACTATAATGATCTTGAAGATAACAGCTGTAGAGGCAGTATCTGTCAGGAATTAAAAGAGGACTTGGAGAAAATTGTATTGCATTGTAAGTTAAAAAACGTGCTCACAATTTTACTGCATATGTAAAATTGAGATTATTTCACTTGTTTCTAATTTTCCTTTTATTTATAAAGGCAATTGTTGGCTTTATTAACACTAGGGAAGGGAGGGAGTTGACAGGCTGTGTGATTGAACCCCTGAATTAGAGGGGTGAATTTGCTGTTGAGCACAAGGACTATGTTCAGTGTGTATTATTAATTCAAACATATTATTTCTCAGTTCTGGGAATAGCAGCATTATGCAGTGGTGGTGGTGGTGGTGCCAAGCAGCCTGCCCAGCCCCACAGGGTTGCTGAATAGGGAAGTTCAGAATGGATTCTGTCTTTAGAGACGTGTCATCAGTCTCAGAGGATGTTGGTCAGTCCTACCTTTGTCACTCCATCATCTCTGGGAGACCTCAAAGTTTGCCTGACCCAGCCAGCATGCAGTGTGGTGATGTCCTGCCACCCTGAGACTGTCCCTGGGTAGAAGAGGAGCAGAAGAGCATTGGCTCTCCATGATCTTCTGTTCCTCCTGTCAGCCTTCCCAGCCCCTTTGATGGAGATGCACCTTTTCTGCAGGGCGAGCTCTTGAGGAAAGGATGGCCTGTGTGAACGCTGATGGCTGGCAGACTGGCAACAAACCAGGGTGGCCTTGGAGGGAACATCCTGCTGTTGGGCTGGTGTCAGCCTTCTGTGCACTTGGAAAGATCACAAAGACTTTTTGGCAAGAGGGCCCCGCACTGACAGTGCAGCTGGGGAGGGTTCCAGCTCTGTGTGCGCGTATGCTCTCTTCCCTTGCTTAGCAGGAACAGCTTCACAACTCTGAAAAGTGACCCTGTATATTTAGCTGACTTCACTGTTCCCTGTCAGCCTTATGTTTCAAGCTTTTTCCCATCCCTTTCCCACCTCTTCTGAGCTTGTCAGTATGTTTGCTCCAGTCCAAAGTTAAAGAGTCTTGAGCGAGTCAAGCCTGGGAGACTGTTCCCTTCCTCCTTTTTTATCTTACATTCCTCAGTGTTTGTGATTCTGGATGGTGTCCATGATGGAGCAGTGTCCCCTCACACAGTGTAAAATGGAGCAGACACCCTCAGCTGCTTTTTGGAATCAGTATTATGCACTGAATGGTAAGAAGGAGACAATGCAGTGCTGTGTTGGCTTAGGTTTGATTTTTGATGGGTTCGAGTTTTTTTTAATTTTCCAGTGTTCATTTTTAAATGCGACAGCTCAGTCTGTCTGCCGTGCCGTCTTCCCAGCTGGCCTTCTCCAGTGTTAAAAGTGATGCTGTGCTCTTCTATTTGTACTTGTAGTTCCTGATCATTTTTTGATGTCTCTTCACTCCTTTTTATCAGTACATGTTAAATCTCTTTTTCCTAAACTCATTCATCTCTCTGGCTTTTCGAGATGTTGCTTTCTCTCCTCATGCTCTGCTCATTTCCTTTGTGTCATGCTCCTATTCTAATAAACTCACCAGTTTGATCCCTATCCAGTTTATTAGTCAACATCTGACAACGGTGGCACAGGCAGTATCAAATTTTGTTGCGTAGTTTCCTTTGCCATGTCCCTAGATTGGGGCTGTAACTCACAGTGGTGCTGTTTGGGGTATAAAAATGGCCCACTGGTAGTGGTACTAAGTTGTGGTTTCTTGTTTTGTGGAACTTTAGATCAGACTTTGTCAGTGCTGGTGTGCTACCCGCTGTGCAGCCCAGGCGCTCCTCTGCATCCGTGTCACTGCTGCCCTGTTTTTACAGCTGCAGCACCCTGGAGCCCTTGGACCAAGACACTTATCCCCCCAGCTGGTTGAGGAGTACTGATTTGCTGATACTAAATATCAACAGGAATTTGTGGCACTGCTTCCTTGACTGTAGTAAGCAGGTGAACTGGCACACTTTCAGGAGAGCAGAGGCAGTGCATGGAGGAGTTCCTGATAGTTTTTGAACCCATGGCAGAGCAGAGATTGGGGGAGCCCATACAGGCTAGGTAAGATAGGTCCTTGTTCCTCTTTCCTCCCTCTGTGGGCGTGCAACCCAGGTCAAAGTCTGGCTTTTTTTTCAAAGAGGAGATGATCAACTATCATTTTGCATGCACTGAGCTGGGCTGACGTCAGTGGAGCTCTGTCAGAGTTTGACCCATTTTATTCAGTCTATGTTACATACCTCAGTACAAATGATGAAGCAGTGACTTAACAGAGGCAATGATTCATAGCACAGGCACCTCTGCAGAGGATATCTAGATCTTTCCATAGCTGCACTTTTCTGAGGAACCACCTTGTTTCCAGCCAAGAATCATCTGGGAATGCCATCTGCAGCTGGGAGTTCTCTCCTCCATGCACCAAAACCCCTAGCACCTAACTCCTGAGCATGCTTTATCTCTGCCATGCCATAAAGGAGGGCACAGATGATCCTCCAGCATCTCATCCTATGAGGGTAACAAGCACCAAATGTTGCTGTAGCTCTTGTGTCAGAATAGTGCCATGTGGTGTGAATGTATTTATCCTTGATTGCTCCCATAGATCTCGGTGTCAGTGAGCTCAGCCCTGCATATATCTGTGCTGCTTTCGCTCTTTGCTTAAAGTCAGTCAGAAACTACTGCAGAAAACCCAGCCTTGCTGTATGCTGCCTTCTCCCTCTTTGCTGTGGGCACGTTGCTGGTGCAGAATCTGTTACTGCTGTTGCAGTGTGTTTATTGAGTGTTGTGCATTAATCTTGCAGCATCCTGTGGTGATGGAACGTCATCCTTGTTCCCCTGAGGAGTGATACTCCAAGCATGCCTTTTTTGCATTCTTAGGATATGAACTTTTTTACCAGTCAAAACCCAAACTGAGCAGTAGAATGAACATCAAGAAAACATCTGTTGCCCTCCAGACTGGTTCTGGCCCAGCACAGCAGAGAGCAAGTCTGAGATCAGATGCCAGTTTCAAACCTGTAGAAGCTTTGATCAAAACACTTTGTGTTTTGCATTTCACTTTCCTTCCTCTGTTGAAAGAGGAAGAGCAGCAGCTATTGCTACATACCACTTCTTCTATATAAACAGCATATTTGTTGCACAGTGCTGTTAAATATTAAGCAGTGTTATATATTTTATAAAGGTCTGATAAAGCACTTTGAAGAAGAAATTTAAATTATGGTGATGTGCCATTCCTATTTTCCTTTTGATTTGCTGCAGTTTTTTACATATGAAATCGAAAACAAATATTTGATGTATGCTTGACTTTTTCACTTTTGATCTCTATTTTGTTTTTCCTTCATAAGTAGCCCCTCATTTTCTGACCTAGCATTTTTGCAGATTTAAAGCAGTGCTTTTCCAAACAGTCCTTTATCCAAGTTCACACCAAAAGTGCTGTGGATTTGGACTCCACCCTCTGCCCCAGACACTCCTCAGCATGAAAGAAAAGCAAACCTGTCTTTTAACAAGATGAAACCAACTTGGATAAACATTAGATTTGAATTTTCTGGCTCTCTCTGGAACTGTAGATTCACATCTTGGCTAAATAACTCCTAGCCCTTCTTTCATTTGAAATGGATATCAGTTCACAGTTTGAAGATCTTTTGAATAAGATCTTAAAAGAATGACATCTCGTCTGTTAGACACAGCCAGCAAGGATTTGTGGTGTCATGCCATGACTACCTGGCAAGATTGCTTGGTCCCCAGTTGCATGGTGGTCTTATGTACATGTGGTCCTACTTGGACCAGGTGCCCTCCAGAGGTTCCTCTCAACCTCAGCCAGCCTGGGATTCTGTGACTTCCACTTTCTGCTCCAAAAAGGCTTCCCTGTTACTGGGACTATGCTGGTAAGATCCTTGAAGGTTTTTGGAGTGACATTATTTTCTCTTTGGTGTACTGTCAATGATTATACATCCATTTGATGTAAGTTCAAAGCTTACTGAAGTCACTGAAAGTTTTCAGGGATCAGGGGAACTGGATGACCTTGCCATGCAGACAGAAAACATGTGGTGAGAATTTACATTGCTTAAACAGGGAAACAAAATCAAATGAAAGCTGTGCTTTTTTTCCCCAGTTTTTATTGAAATGTATAACTTGTCCCATGAAAGATAGACCAAGGGCAATCTCCCATTAGCTTGCATTATCATTTCCCATTCAGCATTTCCCTCGCGCAAGCGGGTCAAAGGAGAATGGATGCGTGCATGACCTAAATCCTTCAAAACCAGGGCACAGTATTATTTTCCTAGGGAGGTCTGTCCTCTGGCTGTCCTCTGAGGGAGTTGCTTTCTCACCCCCAGGATTGACGACTGTTTCTGTGCCTCTCGGAAGCTGGATGCAGTTGCCACCGAGGCCAAGTTCAAGCAAGACCTGGGTTTTCGGATGCTCAACTGCGGCCGGACGGATCTGGTTAAGCAAGCCATATCCTTGCTGGGGCCGGATGGGATCAACAGCATGAGCGAGCAGGTAATGGGACAGACATTTACAGGAGCAGCTGTGAAATGGGAGAGTTTTGTCTGCTTGTTTTGTCACAGGGAATGAGCCCCAGCTTTTTTCAGCTTTACGTAGACAGGACCTTACTGCCAGGTGGCGTTAACTGAGGTCATCTCGAGTTGTATTGATTTGCCAGTACTGAGGTAACTCAGTGTGAGGGCAACTGCATCCCCCGAAATCTTCACAGTGAACTGAGTTGAGTGAAGGCAGAGGAAGATCCCAAGAGAGCTTAGTGTTGAGCTGAATACTTAAAACCTCTTCAGTGCCTCGCTCAGTGCTGTGAGACAGGGCTTTGTGAGGTGAGCAGCCTTCCACTGCACACAGCTCTGGGATCCGTCACATGTGCATCACTCAGCCTGTCAGCAAATGGTTAATTGCTGGTGCTCTTTAATGGATTTCAGTCCAGTTTGAATGGACCTCGCAGAGGGAAAGCATCTCCACAGTTACCCCTCTGCTGGTCAACATCCACCAGTTGAAGAGCCTAAATTTCCTTGGAGTTACACCTCTGTGGGGCTGGTGGTTGTGCTAAAGCTGCCCTCTGCAGCTACCTACTGGCAGCTGTCTGCTGGGCTGTGATGCTCACCGAGGTGGTTCCCCCTTCCCAGAGGGAAATGTTGATGGATACTAACCTTTTCTTTTGAAATAGAGTCCCCTGACCTTTCTGGTGCCCCGATGCAAGTTTGTCACTGTGTGTTCCCAGAGCTGTGGGATCATTTTTGACAGGAGTCGGGTGGCCGCCACCTCTCTGGTGGTGATGTGGGACAAGAGCTGGACTGTTCATGGGTTTAGGTCTTCTGAGATGAAAGCTGTTTCAGAAATGTGAGTTATTTTGAATCAGTATTATGGATTCATCTGAGAAAAGCTTTAGAAGAGGGCAATGCTTTCTGCAAGAAAAATAGTATCGGACTGCTCATTCCAAGGTTCATACAGTATACTTTTTTAAATTATTGTTATTTTAAGTTAGTCTGAACCTGGAAACTTCTCACAACCTATTTCCTCTGTCCTCCAGGCTGAAAACCAGGAACACTCTGGCTCGATTCATCCAAGTACCTAATCATTTGCTTAACTCTGAACACATGCTTTTACATCCTATTTGAGTGAAAGTTTAACCTGTGCTTAAATGTTTTGTTGGATCAAATGTCCCACATCTTGCAGGATCCCACATCTTTGGGACAGAGCCCTAAGTCATGCAAAGCTGAAAGAAAGACAGTAATTTTATATTTTGCCAGAAGCCAAATGCCCTTTGTGTTGATTGTACACATTGTTAGTGTGTTCCTGTGTGTGCTTTGAACACTAATGATGGGCTCATTAAAAATCCATTCCTCCCACGTGCAGAGATGGGGGTGAGTGGTGCTGCAGCACAAGGCTGAGCTGCGGGGCAAGCCTGGGGCAGAGACTGGCAGAGGCAAAAGCAACAGGGACAGCAGTGCAAGGGAAGGGGAGGTTAAAATCCTCATTAACACTTTAAAACCCTGACACTGCAGCATGACATTCTGGGCCTCTTTTAGTGTGTGTTAAGTCCTCCTTCAGCTGCAGCAGGGTCAGAACATCTTGTGTGATTCCCAGGCTGAGCTTTTGCTCTGGATGTTGCCGCAGGATTCCGCAGCTGTGGCTGCCCACGAGCTGTGTCTTGCAGGGGGAGCCCCAGCACTGGGTTTTCAGACTCCTTTCTACAGATCTGATTAGACCCCTCATGCTCACTGAACACTTGACTTAATTATCCAGTGATGCCACTTACAGAAACTGAAAAACCAGTTGGAGGAACCTGTATTTAATTTTAAGCTGCTACCCCATCCTTGTGTTCCAAAGCCCAGGCGCAATTTTTTTGTAATTCACATGGTCCTGTTTATTCCCATAGTGCTTACTGACTGCCAGAGGAAATGTTTTGCCACTGGCTATGGCTGAAGTCCTTTCAAATTCTCTTTGCAAATAGCTTCAAGTCACCCAAGAACTCTCATTGCTTAGGGTGAAGTTCTTTCTCAATAATGGCATGAATGGCCCCAAGTGCCCATTCCACAAATTCACTGCAGATTGGATCCTGTGAAATGCTCAGTGTCTTTCAGGAAGGATTTAAGGACCTTGCAGGGACAAACCCTAATTTAGTTTGTCTCTACAGGAGCAGCCCTTCCATACATACGTACCCACTACCTTTAGCCCTTGAGGCAAAGAGGAAAACTGAGGTAGTTCAGCAAAAACAGTGGTGCTAGGCTCCTGCTAGGAACTGTCTGGCCAGGACAGGTACCTCCAGTTTCTCTGAAAATAACTTCCCTTCATAGCAGTATTTGGGTTAAAGAGCAAATGGACTGTGGTCTGACAGCAGATTTACTGGGGGACCTTGAGGCAGGCTGTAAACATGCATCAGAGGTAGCTGCCTGAAATTCAGGAGATTTACTGCAAAGCAACTGGTGGCTGTTGGTCAACACCCCTTACTGTACTTAATAAGCAGCTTTTGCTGTTATAATTTGCAGTAGGTTTAATAATTTTGTTCATCTGGATGCATGGTTTCATCTGAACTCATTACCACAGCCACAGCAGTACTTTCCTTGAGGGAAATGGTGTTCAGGCATAGCAGGTATTTCAGATTAATACAAATTGCATTGTGGTGATTTTGTAGTGAAGGGTCACTTAATCTACTTTTTCTCCAAGCAGGGCCATGTTTTCCTAGAGCCAGCAACTTGCAACAAAGCTGTCTGGCATTTCATTTAAAATTAAGTCCATGTTTGCAGGGAGTGCTATACAAAGTCTTGACATTGCCAGCCTCTTACAGTACCCATGTTGAAAAAGCTGTGCTCAAATCTGACTGATCTTAAAAGGAGCTTGAGATGTTTTAAAGGCTTTCTCAGTAATTGAAAAGTTAGATTTTTAGACACTCTGATTATAGAAAACTGAATAGAATTCTTGTCTTTCTAAAATACCAGTGGCAATAATGGTTGCTCTGGTGAAAACGTGTCTCTGCTGGGGCCCCAAAGACAAAGGTGCTCAGTTTAGTATATGATGGAGGTGAGGCTGGCAAGCCTAGTTTCACTCACCATGCTGAAGACAACATGAAAAACACAAGCAGTAAGCACAAGTGACAACAAAAACGGAGATTTTTATAAAAGTGTTTGACTTTTGCTACTCTGAGGGGCATGTTTGTTACAGAGGTAATGGATTTCATTAAATACATGCTGTTAGTCTTGATGCTATATATACTTAAATAATTGTTTTTAAAAATCAAAGAGAGTTCTGTGTTAAATTTGTCAATTCCTTTGTTTTTTAACTCCAAAAAATGACTAGGGCATGACTCCACTGATGTATGCTTGTGTCAGGGGTGATGAGGCTATGGTGCAGATGCTGCTAGATGCTGGAGCAGATCTGAATGCTGAGGTGAGGACTTTTTGTTGGTTGTATTTTTTTTTCTGTTGTTTGTTTACATCTTAAACTACCCCCTGGAACTGTAGCAGAGCGAGAATTGCAAGAAGTAAAAAGAAAACAAATCTGTCTTATCTGGGATTGGGACCACCTGAAATGAACAGTGAAATCAAATGGCATTAGGTTAAAACTGGGATTCACTGCACAGAAGGGCTCCCTCCAGTCATTGGATATAACCCACAGGTAACAGTGGTTTAGCTGTGTTTGCACACTGCCAATGAATACAGGCATTAATGAGCATTGGCCCTGAGCAAAGCTCTGATGCTGCTAGAAGGACTCACTGAATCTCAGCTGACTTTAAATGAAGGAGGTAAAAGAAACACCCATCTGGTAACCTGCCAAAGCTCAGCATTTCTGTGCATGTGGATGTTCCAAGTGAGCATCCCCAGCACACGAGTGCCATATAGGTTCCAGTGTTTTGTTTTGCAAAGTGCCTTGGGCTAAAAACTGTTGGATGAGGAGCTTGAAGCTTCCAGAATATAAATGTCTCATTGATGAATGCACATCACAAACTCGGACAATCTGTCCACCAAACAGATTGTTGTCCAACTCAGTGCAATGCAGGTATGTACATTTTTAAAGAGCCATTTGAAAATCTGTGGAAGACTTATTTGTTAATGAATCCAGTTTCAATTTGTTGAGGTCATGAGTGAATTAAGCTGTCTGCTTCACTTATCTGTGTTCCATCTGTTCTGTTTGGACTTGAGCAAGCTGATAAATTTGAGTCACTGCTTCAGACAGATGTTTTGCACTTTTTTAAAAGTCTAATTTAACAAGCAAAAATGGGTGTCACCTGTAGGAGACAGTGTTACTACCATGTCGTGAAATCAGCTGGTGATTTCAGTTCCCCACAGGCAAGCACACCACCCTCACAGCTGGCAGTATCTCAACACCCTAGTCAGACCAAAGACTGGATGTGCAGGGAGGCTGATGATCTCTTCCTTATCCCTGCCTTGTGGCTCAGGCGTGAGGTGGCATTATTTGGTTCCTAGGATGAGTTTTCATTAGGAGCAGTCCTCCCAATTGCTCCAGTAATCTTCCAGGCTTGAATCAAATGCAAATTTAAACAGTTTTGTCTTCCTGAAACTGCTGACATATGAGAGAACAGCTCCAGTGAGGAATGTGAACCTCCCCAGTTCATTGCTGTAGAGTGTTTGCTCTAAAATCAAATGAAAACACTTTTGGACAAGATCTGTGAGTAATTATGGCATGCAATTATAAGATGATTTGTGCACACCATAACCAACTGTGCAAATTGGGCAATTATGGCAAAAAAAGGCAAATCAGCCATGAACAAAAAAAATATTCTGTCAGGTGCCTGCATAATTTTCTCCCTTTCACTTTGCAAATATGTTTCCAAAAGTAGCCTCCAATGATGGGCACCTCCCTTTTTGATTGCCCATCCTTAGTGAAAACCGACTCGTTTCCAGATGTGCTGAGAAGCTGCAGTTTGCTCTGTACTCTGTGGGACCTGTAGCTGCTCAGCCAGTCTCATCCTTAAAAGCTTACCCAGCCACAGGTCTTTGGCGAATTCTGTGTTGGAGAGAACTCTGACTTTAAAGAAAAACAAAAAACAAAACCCAGAAAAAAACCCCAGCAAAACAAAAAGGAGCAAAGGAGTTAAAATGACTTCATTTTCTTTGCCGCTTTCCATGGACTGCCCCAAACAGTGGTGGGAGCCATGCTTGAGGAGGAGCTGGATGCATTCACTGAGCCGTGGTCCTGCCCCATCCTTACCCTCTGCTGCTCTTGCTCCACATCCCAAACCACAAGGCTTGAGCTGCTCAATCCTCTTCCTTCTGACCAAACTCAGCCCTAAGGAGCCCTGTGTCAGAGGGCAGCACACTCCTTGTGGTGCCCTTTGAGCTCTCTCCGTGGCAAATCTGTGTGGTAACAGCCAGGTGCTGGTGCAGATCTGGCAAGCTGTGGGTGCAGATCTGCATGGGGTCTTCAGATTTTGCCCTCATCCCTGTCCTTGGGCCTGCTTCTAGCCAAACGCTGCATGTGGTGCTTGGAAATGCGAGCTGCTGATGGAACCAAATATTTAATGACTGGCCCTGCTCCCCTGTATGGATAAACGTACTTCAGACAAGGTAGTGAAAGCAGAGCTGGCTGGTGAGACAGAGAGATGGTGCAGCTTTTACTCTGATTTTAGTCCTCCTCTGAAGATCAATAACAAGATTTTGAATTTTAGTGTCACACTCCATCTGAGTGTGCAGCCTTGGATTGCAAATGTTCATTAGATTCTACCAGCTCTGTGAACCTCATCAATATTAATACCCCCATCTTTAAGACAGGGAAATTGAAGCAAAGAATGGTTATTCATCTTCCCCAATGTCTACATTAGAGGCACCAGGCACTAAGGCATAGAAAATGGAAGGAGCAATCTGAAGAGAATAGCATTTTGTTTTCTAAGGATATAGTTTGCATCTCTTTTAACTGTCAGCACTTTTAGCTCAGCTCAGGAGAAGGCAGCAAAAGGGAGATTTTCTTTAACACTTCTGAAGTGACGCTTTGCCCCATCACTTCTCAGACCTTGTTTTTTCCATCTGGTGAGAGAGGAGGAGCCTGGAAGAATGCCTGCAAACTCCAGGGTAGGGCTTGTGATGTGTGTTTCATGAGGGCAGTGACAAAAGTACTGATTTAAGTACTTTTTAAGTAAAGAAATTAAGTAAAGAAATTTGGCTGGGCCTGGAGCAATCCCAAGACCCAGGGCTGTTGGTACCTGGTCTGGTGAAGTCGGTGGGAGTGGTCCTCAGCTGTAAGTGTCCTGATCCATCCTTACTTCCCCAGTGTGTGCTGTTGTAACCAGCTGTGGATGTTTTGCCCTTGTGCAAAAGAATCTGGTGGCCAGTGGTTTAGATGGAGCTACAGTAGTTGGTAAAAGACTTCATTTGGTAAGAACTCAAATCAAGCTGTCATATCAGCGTGAACAGTTTTAATATCGAGAAAAATTTTGCAGGAAAAAAAATGAAGTCAATCATTTTATAAAGCACCTTTCCCAGGTTTTCTATTTCACTTACTTCCTCACATGCCTGGATTTCAGGCAGGTTGAATTTTGTTACATACAGCTCTTTAAAAAAATAACTTTAATTTGTTTATAGGTTGTCAGTACTGCTCATAAATACCCATCCGTCCACCCTGAGACCCGCCATTGGACAGCTCTGACATTTGCTGTGTTGCATGGACATATTCCTGTAGTTCAGGTATTATTGTATTTCCCTACCTGCATCTCATTTTTTTTTTTTCCTCCTCTTCAGTTCTAATTACATCCATCTCAAACCAGCATCCTCTTGTCATACTCATATTGGTTACTTCTGCTTCTTCAAGAGTGTACTGATACATGATAGACTTAAAAAAAGAATATGGTGTTCAAACCTTAACCAATATGAGGCTTAAACAGGACAATTTTAAAGCAAAGTTGCACCAAAGAAAGTCTGACAACTCCTTGTGCTCCTTCCTGACCACTTGTTTTATATGTCTGTTTATTCATTCATTGCACTTTCTTAGACTGTAATGTTCTAGCAAACACAAAACCGCTGCCTTGGTGGGAGAGAGGTGGACAACAGCCCTTGTGCTGCTCCAGAGGGGGAGAATCCCTCACTCTCCTTACCCCATCCAGGTGTTGTGTGGGATGTGCTGGTTCTGTGCTTTGGCATCTCAAAAGCTGAGAAGGTTTATTCTACAAAACAGCCGTGTCTGTGACGCACTCAAGCACCAAAACTTTGAAGGCCTTAAGACAGAAATGGCCAAGAGGGGGCTGGAGCACAGGCTCCATCCCGCTCTCCTTGGCCACTTTTGTTTTCAGCATTGTTGCTACTTGTGTGGAAGTGTCCCCGATGGAGACCACAGCTTTTGGACCCATTGCTGCAATTGGTTCTTAAGAATTACCTTTCTTTTGGCCATGTCTTCATGTAAAAGATGGAGACAATTGAAATCTGATCCATTTTTGGATGGTGCTAGGCTTCTAGAAGACCATGAAGGAAGGATGCTTGTCGGGCTAACTTTCTTCCATCTCCAGTGCATTACTTCCTAACACTGACCTTACCCCATTCCCCATTCAAAGACACTGGGTTACACTTTTTTGGCTCTGAAGTTGGACGCTGGTGCTTCTGGTGTTTGGCAGCGTAAAATGAGCGAAAAAAGGAATGAATTTGCCTCTGTGAAACAATGGGCAGAATTTGCATGTCACGTGTCTCCATTGTATCTGGTTTGCAGATAATAAGAAGCATTAGATTCTCATTTGTCACTGTTCATGAACTCTGAAGACTGTGATACCCCCAGTTGCTCTAAATGGTGAATTTTCTTTCTAGCTATTGCTGGATGCTGGAGCAAAGGTAGAAGGTTCCTTAGAGCATGGAGAGGAAAATTACTCTGAAACTCCTTTACAGCTCGCAGCAGCTGCTGGTAAGGACTTTTTCTTCTCCCACTGTAACAATTCCTCAGCTGGGATCTGTAGTTTAAGTGAGCTGGATTTTCAAAGGAGTAAAAATGCATCTCTTGCCTTGCAGGAAATTTTGAACTGGTGAGTTTGCTGTTGGAGCGAGGAGCTGACCCCATGATAGGAACAATGTACAGGAATGGCATTTCCATGACTCCACAAGGTGACATGAACTCTTTCAGTCAGGCTGCTGCACATGGACACAGGTAGAGTGGGAACAAGTCTAGTGGCATCCTTCAAGTGCTACATTTTTTGCCTGGGCATCCAGTTTGAGCAGATGGGTGAAATTTCTGCATGAACTATTAAACATGCCACCAACTGAGCAGAGATGTAAGGCTTTCTGCTAGCATGTGAATTAAATCAGTTGGTGGTACAAGCTGCGTTTTGATTTCTGATGTACAAAAAAAAAAAAAAAGGAAGGGGACTTTTTGTGGTGTGTTCAATGCAGTGGTTGTTAAATGGCAGCTGATGTGGCAGTAGAAAGGAATGTCAGAAACATTCCTTCTGAATTTCTTAATATTTTTCTCAGGTTTGACTGAATTGTGTCCGTAGTGCTGCGGCCTTAATTTTGTTGAATAGAGTTTCTGCATCTATGTTTACTGTAAAGTCCTGTGTGTCTTAATGTTGTTTGTATGCTGCAAATTTAAAACAAACAAACAAAAAAAAGAACTACTGAGATGAGCACCTGGCATGCATGACCTTGCAACGCTCAGGAGTTGACTGCAGTGTAATGAATAAGTATCATGATCTTCACGTTCCTACTTTTCTGATTGTAGCCATCCAGAGGAACATAGATACAGGTTAGAGACAGTACCTACCGTGTGTTTGCTTAGAGACGAGCTGCCAGTCTAACAACACGCTCACGGCGCGTCAGGGCGGGTTCGACAGCTCTGCCCCTCTGGAGCCTGCCAGGGATCCCTGCCACAAACAGGACACTTTGGGCATTGAAGTCTCACATTCAACCAGTGTGAATGGGAGCTGCAGGCCCAAGGAGAACCTGGAGCTCTCCGTGGCTTGGCTGCTGGCTGTCCGTGTCATGGACTTTGACTCTTGTGTTCCTGCCTGTGTAACTCTCACGCACACCTTCTTCCTTCCCTCTCTGCCCTAAGTTTGTTTGGGACACACCATGCTGTGGTCTAAGCAGGAGCAGGGGAACACTGGTATACAAGGAGGGTGGGCTGGGAGCCAGCCTAGTTTCTCTTCTCACAGCTGCAAAACCAAGGGAAACTATTGAGGTTGATGAGGTTATGCTGGTGTGAACCTGAGGACACAAAGTCTCTGAGTCTGAGCTTTGTTACTTGAGGGCCCAGCTGGATCAGTGGCTTTGTAGAGTAGTCCTGGCTCTGCTTGAACCTGCCCTGACTGGCCTTGTTGAATGTCTAGCTGCTCTAGCTTTCCCAAACTGCTTTCAGTGTGAATCGAGTGGCGGTGCTTTCAGTAGCTCCAGGCAGCTCCCTTCTCATGTGGTTGCCGTGGTGGGAGTCCCAAGAGCTTGTCCAAAAGCACCTTGGCCTTCCTTGGTTGCTGAAGAAGTCTTGAGCCACGTTTAGCTCACGAGTCTCTGTTCCCACAAGATGCTGCCACTCACGTGACATCTGTGTGGTTCCTGTCACGACAGCAGTGACTTGCAGATGTGTCCCAGGCAGAGCAGGTGGGTTAGCAGGAGCTGTGCTTGCCTTGGGTCTGCTCTCAGCTGGCTCTGCCATTTAGCTGGAGTAATTTCTTGGGTAGGTGTCCTAACTTGCCACATCACAGCAAGTAAGCCCAGTGCAGTGAAAGCCTGGCCACTGACTCTGCTCTCCTTTTCCTCTCCTTTCCTGCCCTCTCTCTCTGCCACGCTGTGATTGACAGGAATGTTTTCCGCAAGCTGCTTGCTCAGCCAGAGAAGGAGAAGAGCGATATCCTGTCCCTGGAGGAGATCCTGGCCGAGGGCACGGACTTGCCCGACTCGGCGGCAGCTCCTCTCTGCGCCAGCCGCAACAGCAAGGCCAAGCTGAAGGCCCTGAAGGAGGCCATGTACCACAGCGCCGAGCACGGCTACGTGGACGTCACCATCGACATCCGGAGCATAGGTCAGTCCTGGGCTCCTTCCTCTTCTTCGTCCAGGAAAGGACCACCGTGAGGAATGTCCCTCTTGAGGGGCTGTTGCTTAAACTGACCACAGTCACAGCTCTTTCAGAATAGGAGGTGGTGGGAGATCTGACAGGTTCCCAGCCCACTGCAGCTCCACAACACACCCTGTAAAGGGGCCAGTGGCTTTTTTCTGCAGGACACAATGGTTTCCACCGGGAGCCATCTCCACAGCTGCATGGCAGAGCGTAGGTTAGGCTCTGGGGCAGTGTTCAGCTGTCATGGGCACCCTCCAGCTGCTTCTCTTTTGCATTCTGCTGTAAAGCAGTCCACCATTAAAAATACTTTATTTTCTGAGACTCCGAAGGCAGGAGCAGAGAACTGACTGCTTGGTGTGCCAGCTCTGCCAGTGAGGGACTTGAACATCATACCAGCCCACTGTGAAGTTGCTTCTGCCTGTGGGGAGGGTGGCTGTGTGGTGCAGATGGAAATCGATCTGGACTGTGTATTTACCATCCCCAATTATCTGTTCATAGAGAAAGAGAGACCCAAGTGCCTGGTGTGCCTCTGCCTGGGGCAGTGCTCAGCCCAGGGGACACGGGGTATGGGTCAGAGTTGTGCAGTGGGCTGTGCAGGCAGAGATCTGGAGAAGAATGAGAGGAGAGTGGCAGGGGTGCTCTCCAGGCATTGAGCATTTTCTGACATGGAAGGAAAAACCTTGGCTTGCCAAACACCAGGCTTGTGTTTCTTTCCGCTTTGTTCTGTAAGAGCAGAAAGTAGGTCACATCCAGCCTCATGCCTGCAGAGGTACATCAGCTCCCTGTGCTTTCTCACTCAGTGCATGGGAGCAGTTCCCTTTAACTGGCTGGAGAGGGGTTCTGCCATGACAAGCTGCATGAAAGGGCTGATTTGCTTAACTCGCCCAGTGCTCTTGAGGGAAAATACTAATGATCAGGAGAGGACATGGGGTATCACTTAAAGCAAGTTTTAATCTGAAGACCACCAATTTGAATCCAGGTAGGTAGTGACCAAAATCAGGTTTTTTCACTATTTAATGGCTCTCCAGGGCCACATTCAAACAAATGAGCTAGTGTAAATCTAGTTTTCAAAAGGCTTTTGCAACGCAGAACACCACAGCAATTACCACAAATTGGTAGTCTCAGCAGAGAAGCTGAAGGCTAGATGAGCAGAGAGACCACAATCTTCTCTTAGCATTTGGAGGAAAGCCTCTGTGCATTAGCTCTGGGATGTACTGATAACCATCAGCCATCTCAATTAGGGATAAATAGGAATTTGATTTCTTGAATGATTTGGCAGCTTCTGCTTAAAGTCTTAACATCAGTAAAGGCAGAAGGGCACATCCTTCCCTGGAGGTGGGAACGAGCTGTGTCTTCTGTCTGCAGGTGTTCCCTGGACGCTGCACACGTGGCTGGAGTCCCTGCGCACGTCCTTCCAGCAGCACCGACGGCCCCTCATCCAGTGCTTGCTAAAGGAGTTCAAGTCCATTCAGGAAGAGGAGTACACTGAGGAGCTTATCACACAAGGATTGCCTCTGATGTTTGAGATACTGAAGGCCAGCAAGGTAGGATAAATAATGTGTTTTAAAGGGAATCAGCCTTATTCACATCCTGTAAGACACTAAAGTTTGCGATATTATTTTTGAGCAGCTCTCCCAAAGGTTGTTTAGACTGCACGGGATTATTATCATCTGTGTTAGGTATCTCAGGTTTTTTCACTGTGGAAGCATGGGTTATAAACACACAGGGTAATCACTGCTCCTACTAGAACAGCCTAATAAGAGGTGCTAGCAGTAAGCTGGAGAGACAAAAGAAATTGGTACCTAGTGGTGAAATTAAAGTCAAAAGGATCATGTCACTGTGGCAAGAGATGTTGATAACCAAACCAACCCAAAGAGTAATTTCACCCAGCTTGTTTTACAGAAACATACAACAATTCATGTTTACTTTGGATTTCTTTAGCCTTCTCTTCCCTTTGTGTGGGATTTGGACTCTTAACCTTGTGAGGAGACTGGTTTCTACAAGCACAGAACAAGATAATTTTTTCAAATTTTCTGTGAGCATGTTTGCACTTGTAGCTTCCCCAGATTTATTCTTTTGGCTGACTTTTTTTTAGCCAAGCAAATCAGACTAACAAAACCTTTCCAAGGAGGTGCCATTAAGTATGCAAGTATAATGGCAAAAGGGGTGATCATGGGCCTGGCAAGGAGAGGAAAATATCTTACCTAGTGAAGAATTTTAAAGTTGTTATAACCAATAGTCTCTTCTCTACTTGTTCCCTTGAGAGTTAGTCACTCCCAATGCCCAGCCTCCATCCACTGTTACTGGAAAATCCTTGTGGTGATGAAAAGCATTAAAATTATTTGATGGTGTTCTGTTTCCTCATGCTCCACAGTATATGTTGGTGTGGCCTTCTAATTGTTAAACTGAAAGTAACTTTTAACACCCAGCTCTATGTGTAACAGCAGGAAGCAAATAATTTTTATCAATAGCCTAAAGAATGTGAAAAGGGGAGAGGTTCTGGTATACTCAATACTAAATATACCAAACTTGGTATAGCTAATGATAGCCTACATGGGTTTTTTTCTTGTATCTTGCTGCAAAAGCAGGCTTGGACTGGAGTCCTGAGCAATTCCCACATATTTGTTCCAGCATTGTTCTGGTTTTTGCTCCCAAGAGCCTTGCCTTTGCAGTTATTTTGTATTGGATGGGTATTTATGGAGACTATTTTGAGATAGGTTTTAGGAAATTGTTCCAAATCCTAAGATTTGTAGATTCCTTGTTCTGTACTCATTTGGGTTAATGCATGTTCATCTAGAAACTACCAGCAAAGTGCTGTTTGGTTTGAAAGTTTGTATGAAATTAATCATATTGAAAACTTTAACAGAGAATAAGTTTAAGCCTTGTAATCTAGGATGAGGGGTGACTTTAATTGCTATTCTCCTGGGTGGCTGAAGCCAAGGCCAGCAATCATCATTAGAATAAATCATTTACATAGGATTATACCTTTAGTACATCTAGGTCTTCCAGAGTCTGTTGTAGGAGACTTGGGGAAAAAAATAAAACTGCTACCTTCTGCTTTGGGTTCACTTAGAAACCTAAAATATGGAGGGGCAAAACAACTGAAGTATCACAAAAACCCCTAAACACCAAAGAAAAAGTCAGTGCTGATCTTTATGCCTGCCCCTGGGCCTGGGGGAACTGCCTGTCTTCATGCATATTCACAAACACATACTCACACAGTGTTTCATAGTCTTAGAAAAAATAATTAATCATTCTGGGACACTGTAAGGGTTTACAAATTGTCTGCAAATGTTATGAATTATTGTGGTGGTCTTGTCCAAATGGCCTCTTACAAAGCTCTCCCAGAAAGAAATGAGAAAAGAGACTATGCAACCCTTTGGAAGGAATCTACATAAATTCATTTCTAGGAGAATGAGCCAATAAAAGTTCTCCCTGGTCACTCCAAAGAAGGCAGCTGAGGAAAGCTGAGATTTAAAGGATCTTCTGTTCCCCTTCTCTGGAAGGGCTGAGAGCAGAGATTTTTGTGTATACCCACGGAATGGAAATCTCCTTTAAGAGATGCAGAAGGGCCATTACTGTGGTTCACATCCCTCTCTCTTGACAGCAAACTGTAAAGCTCTGCATTTTGTAGAGCTGTGGAGAGAGGAGCTTGATTTGCCCACACGGGCATCCTTTTCCCTGTGGGCTGGAAACTTCGAGAGAGATTATGACTCTTGCTAAACATCACAGTCTGGCCCAGTACATTTCCTTAATGAGTTTTTCAGGGCAAAAAGTATAAAATAAGCAACTAGGAAGCAGAGAGCCACTTAGCAGTTCTTGGCTGATGTAAAACAAGATGTCCCATTTGCTACATATTGTGATGCTCAGTATATTTTAATTGCATGGCAACTTCCACCTAGTAGAAATGGCATTTTGTGTTCCTATAAATAGTTCCAGCTATCCCATAATCTCAGAACAATTTACCAATATTAATGAGTTGAGACATGGAAGAAGATCTTATCCTCCCTTCACCAACAGGGAAACTGAGGTAATTAAACAGGCAGATTTTCAATGTCTCATGGAGTGACAGTCCCAGTCTCAGAGGCTGAGATAACCTGGATAAGCCAAGCAGCAGTTTGTAGTTTTGAGTAATTTGACCAGAAAAACTCCCCCAAAATCACATGGAAACATAAGGGCAGGTCTCAGGGTAGGAAGCAAACTTTCTGCCTCCACCTTCTATTTTTCACTATTGTAAAAATGTTCTTGCAGGTTCCCAAGCTATGCAAAAAAAAAAGCCAAATGCTATAGATATGAAAATATTAAAGAAAATGTAACCAACACCTCCAAGAACAATGTCAGATATGAGGAATCCCTTTTGTCTTTCAGATGGTTTGTAAAATGCCACAGATGTGAGGGTTTCAGTGGGAGCTCTGCCAGCATTGATGCTGGTGACCTGTAGGGTGGCAGGGTGGCACTCCATTCCCATCTGTGTGCCAGGATGCTGACAGTAGAAACAAAAACAAAACTTGCAGAAGTCCTGATGCTGTAACACAGAACAGCAACAAAAATTGGCCAGTCAGGCAAAACTGCCTGAGCTGATGTCCCTGGGTTTATTGTCTTTCTTCAAGCTGTGAAGTAAGTGGGGGAGAACAGTGTATAGGTTGCACATGGGTTGGTCACTGCTGCGCTGAAGCCCTAGAGGAAGTCTTCCAAAAGCACAGATGAAGGTTTGATACCCAGTTCCTGGTGGCTTCCAGTGGGATGGAGCTCTTTCATTTCCTTTCATTCCTTTAACTGTGTTACACTGGCTGCACCATTGAGAATTGCATGGGGAGTGGGGAAGTAGCAGTACTTCCATGCTGCTGAGGCAGAGCTCTCTGAGAACAGAGAGAACAGTCGCTCCCTCCACGGTTCCTGCTGTCCTACAGTGAGTTTGGGCCTTTACCAAATTAAAATCCAGGCTCAAGGTACTCTGGAAAAAGCAACATCTGTGGCAAAGACATTGAGAGCTTGGTTTAAGTCACCTCTCCTCAAAGCAAGCAAAACCCAAACTGGGAAAACTTCAACACTAAAAATGTCGATGACACATGATGGTTTTGAGACACTGGTAGGAAAGGCACTGCCATTTAAGGATGGATTCAATCTCTTTGAAAGACCAGCACACAAATGTAACCTGCTAGAAGTGGTTTGGACAGGGCTGTGTGAGGCAGAAGCCAGAGTGTCACTTATGGAAGTGAGTAGCCCTGAGCTAAACTTTAGCTGCTGTGTAGGGCAGAGTTGAGTCCCTCAAAATTAAAATGATGCTAGAGGTCTTGTTATGGAAGAATGATAGGAAGATACGACTGAATTTCTGCCTGTTGGTATCTGTGTTGTCCTCTTCATGGCTTGGGAAAACTCCCCCAAACTCCTGACTGAAAGCTTTCCTTCCAGCTGAGGTTGATGTTTGCATTGCCTGAGCTTGACCCTGAGCTGGATTGCCCACCTGCCCCATGTCACAGGACCACATTTGCTTGAGGAGTACCTCTGCCCCCCCTTCAAATAGGGGCTTTTAAAAGAGCTGTGTGGGGGCTGCATGCAGGTCCATGGGCTTGTAGTGCCTGAGGTGAGGCTCACAGATCAGCTCTTGTGTTTTTTCGGAGAGTCTCTTAAGGATAATACGCTGAATGTGCAGTTTGTGTCCTCTGTCTACAGAAATCCTGGAGCTGTTCAGTTTCATATTGATATTTCCACAACCTGAAAAGAGAGAGACACAAACCCACAACCTTGGAAGTTAAACACATCTGGCCTTTGGAGGTGGTTTGGTTTAGATTTCCACTCCAGGGCTCTGGAGTAAAGACTGGATTGTCATTAAATCACCAGCTCCATCCATATAGATGAGCCAGCATTGTTGCCAGTTCTATGAGGTCATGAGCCAGTTTAATCCACTGCTTTTTCTGCCTACAGCAATTTACATCAGCTTGTCCTTGGCCTATTTTTTGGAGAAAATGCACAATCTTTTAATTCCAAATAATCTCTCTTACAACTTTCTCCCTTTCCCATGTAGGACAGGTAAGGAGCTCTTTGCCATTTCTTTGGATCCTGTGTGGCTATGCATTGCTGAAGTGCACGTGTGAGTCCACATGTGCATTGAGCACATGTGCTGAAGTGTTGTCTGAAGCTCCTAGAGGTGCTTCACACCCGGAAAACTTGGCATAGGACTTTAAGTGTTCCTGCTAATGTATTGAATAAGACTAAATCAGCTTGAGAAGGAGCAATCCTTCACTGCCATACCTTCATTGCATTCTGCAGCTCTCTCTTCATCCTTCCCATCTGTTTCTGTCAGTGATACCATGTTTATTTTATTTAGTTTATTTTAATATTTAGCCCATTAGTGAGGTGTTGGGCAGCCAGGCTTGTTGAAAGATGCAGGAAACTACTTTGTAAAGATGTTTCCTCAGGATTTAAAATTCCTGCAGCTTTCCAGCCTTTACAAATTCACCTACAGGCAGCTGAAGAAATGTGCAGGAGTGTGCTGGCTCTTTTGGAAAGCTGAGCTGTTTGAATAACAGCCCTCAGTCTGGTGTTGACAGTTATCAAGAACAAACAGCAATTCAGAACAATAACCAGTTCTAAAATTCCAAAAAGATTCAGGCATGTGGGCTATCTTGAGAAATCTAGCCTAAATGGTTTAAAAGCTAAAGTACTCTTTCAGCAGTAACTTCTCCACTTGGAAACCAAAATCTCTTAAAAGGAAAGCTTTGGGGTGTTTTTTAAAATATATCCTTACAGAAATAGCCTCTGTCACAGATTCACTAACTACTGAAAAAGTATTTTCATATCTCCCTCAAACAGAAGGCAGCAGGAAAGATTGAAACATCTGCCTGTTGTGTTTCAAGAAAACTTTCAGAAGCTGAAGCTTGAGATGAGCTTGGTGTTTCTATATTGCTGGTGTTTTTCTGGATTTGATTCTTCTAAAACAAATGTTGGGAAAGGTTTCTAAAAGAATGTCATCAGACTCTGAACTCATGTGTCTGTTCTACTAAGTCCAGGCATGGTGGTCAGCAAAAATCAGTATTTCCCTAGGGTCTGCATGTTCCACCTAGAAAGTAGAACTGGAAGACAAAGAAGCTAGAAAATTCCAGTTTCTTCTGTTGCTTCATGGTGGGCTGAAATTAATGTTTCAGATGGGCTTGTGTGAAGCTGTATTTTGTTGTGTGAAGCTAGACTGCCCTGTTCTGCAGGAAGAGCTAAGGGTAGAGAGCAGAGGTGAACCCTGCATAACAGGCACTCTGTCATAATCACATCCCAGGGGAAAGTCTTCCCCTGGGGGATTGCTGTGCGTGTTTCTCTTACCTGGAGACTATCAGGAGAGACTCCTCTTTGTCTTGTTGAATTGCTTTTCAACAGAAAACTGAGGTTTTATTGTAATGAAAGGTTTCACTAGGATATTTGTTTCTCACATAATATTTTACCTTTCTTGAAAAAATCAACACCTGAAAATGGAACATTTTGGCTGATGACTGAAATACTTCAGCTGAAGAAAAATGCAGTTTCCACAGAGGAGACAGATGCACCAAAACCTGCCCTAAAAATAAGCCTGAAGACATCCCAGGGTGCTAAAGGGTCTGCTTATGGATTCTATGGAATGGCTAATGCCCTTCTATGTGGCACCCAGAGCCCAGCCAGCGCGTGGTGATCCATCTTTTGGCTGGGACTTGCCGTGACTTTCAGTCAGGTTTCACTGTTCCCAAGGGACTGTGGTGATGTGTAGCATTGCCCATTGTCACTTGTAGCACTTCTGTGTCTGAACAGTTCCGAGTCAGCCGGACCCAGGTTATCCACACATGTACATCCTGCATTCTGCGCGTCAGATACGAGCGCCAGGTACCGAGTGGCATGCTAATAACGCACTGCTAACCCCATCCTGTGGTTTCATAACACACGTTCAGCTTGGCACTTACTAACACAGGTTTGGTTTTGTTCCTGCCCTCTGCTACCTTCTAAAATGTTCCCCTGCCAGAGGCAGGGGCCGTTTCTTCATTTACAATAAATAAATGCCTTGGATGTGACACCTGCCCTTTTCTGGGCTCTCACCCAGGGATTGGACTGTGCCCGTGGATCTGAGCTTTCTCCATACAATGCACAGCTGTGATATAAAGAGCCTTTTGAAAAGGAGGCTTGGCGGCTTTCCCAGAAGCAACGGAAGGGTCCGTTTGTGCCTTACCTGTGATTAATTCTTTTCCATTTGTGCTTGCAGTGGAGGGGCTTGAGCCCAGCACTAACAAAACCCATTTTGTTGCGCAGTTCACTGCCTCTAACTGTAGCTCCAACCTCTGGGGCTTCCCTCCCTTTCCAATTGTTGACTAATATTGATTATGTGTATGCTGCTTTACCATCTAGGAGTGACCATCTGAAGTGGCATTTATTTAGTTTTGAGGCATTTGGTGAAAGGGAATTATGCAAGAGGATGGTAGCAGGACACCTGTGCAAAGGTGGAGACAGTTCTGAGATGGCAAAGAAGGTCTCAGAGTTTGAGTGTTTAGGGATGGGGGACAGCAGAAAGCCCTCTCTGTTACTTCACTCCTTATCATCTTTTTCTGGGAAAGGGGAACATAAATAGAGGACTAATTCAAACGTATTCCAGCATGTCATGGACGAGTCCTCAATGGGATTGGGGTATCCTGAGACTACCACTGCTGGAACAGAAGCTGGGGACTGCATGTGAGATTGGTGACTGGAAACAGCACTTCTGCCACTCTGCATTTAACAGAGAAATGGGTCCCCAGAGCATCCTCAGGACTAGAGAGAGAAGATATCTTTGCCAGTGCCCCGTTCTCTGAGCAGTGTGGTTTCTCAGTTTGCTGGGGAGATGTGTATTGACACAAAGACACCGAGCCCAGAGGAATAAGTGTTGCTTTTTCTGCCTTAATGTGGTGGACTTTTGGTTTTTGGGCTATGTGGTAGAGGAATTTGGGGGCCTGGCAGACTTTGGGTGAAACTACGTTAATGGAGCTGAGCTGGTGGGGATAGCATCAGTAGAAGAAAACCCCAAAATACTACTTGGGATTTCAGAGGTGAAGAAAAGAAGCCTGACTTGTTACCGCTATAGAGGGCAGCCATGTGGAGCTGGTAGGCTGTCTGTAGACTGGAAAGAACTAAGCAGTGGGGTTTGAGCAGTCTGCAACACACATTTTACCCTGCAGCGTTTGGGGCACAGACACGTGTCTTGCACAGGTACTGGAGAATATTGGCTATGTATTTCCCAGTTGTGTCCAGTACCTTGTAGGAACACATCCCAGAATGGCAGTGCTGCATTGATCTGTGTAACCTGGAATGGAACAAGCTCTCTCAGGGTATGCACTGAAGCCTGGAGGAGACTTCCCTGAATCCTGCCACAGACCTTTGTCAGATGGACAGTCAGGAAAAAATATCCCTGCACTTCCCACCCGGATCTTCACCTCTTCTCAGATCAATCGATGAGGCATCTCTGGTCCAACAACTTGAAAGCCTCCAGCTTTGCTTCAAAAGAATTTATGAATCCCCTTCAGAGTCCAAGTGCATTCAGCAGGACTGGGGAATTCCTTTAGATCTCTGCTGAAGAACGCTTTTAAGTCAGGGGACCGCTTGTATCTACAAAGCAAAGTTGCTTGCTCACCAACCAGCTCTCTGCTGGAAGCACCATCTCCCTCAGAAGACTTGCTGTTGTTCCCTGTTCCCTCTTGCCTGTCTGTAAACTACCCCATGGCTAGGTAAATATTTTTATTATATGCTGTGCCAAGCTTTCTTCCCCCTCCCACAGAAGAAGATGTGCGTCGGCTCCCTTTGAGTGCAAATGAACGCCCGTGTCTAGAAGGAGGCTGGCCTCGCTCCAGGTGTCAGCCTCACACATCCTGGCACAATGTTTTCCAACATCAAACTGTAGCAAGAAAACAAACTTTGATTTGCTCCTCCAGTGTTAATCTTGCCACCCACAACTGCTGCAGTGAGCTCTTACAGCTGGGCTCTCAGAGTTAGGCTGAAAGGATAAACAGGGAAGAATTATCCATCTTGGTGCTTAAATGGGAGCTTCTGAGCACCTCACCGTGGGCACTGTGTGAAGGTGAAGCTTGAATAGGCTGAATGTGTCCTCCTGTCTTCCAGAGCAATGCTTGCACCCCATGGACTTCTGCAGTTGTTCCAGTTCCTTAACAGGCAGCCCAAGCCCTCCAAGAGCAGGATTTGGCTTAAAAAAAGCCAATTTTTTTCCCCAGCCATCCAGTTAAAGATAAAGCATCCTTTTTTCTTCTCCTGTTTCTGCCTGGCTTATTGGTAAAAGTCAGCAGAGGCACTGTGGGGAGTAGATCCAGCGCCACTGCCCTGTGAGCTTGGCTATGTGCTTGGGAAGCAAACTTGGTGTGCTGTAATAATTTACCAATCCCTTGCTGCTGTTTGTTAGCAATGGCTCTAGACAAGCACATGCTTCAGCTTTCTTGCTGAGGACAGTTTTTGGCCTTTGGATGGCATGAGATGTAAGTATTTAATGTTATCAATAGAAGCCAAAGGTCTCCAGCCTCCTCTCTGCCAAATGAGGTCAGTGTTCTGAATTGGAAGTCTGAAGCCCTTCTTTCTTTGATGTGTCCATCCTAAGGTCTCTTTTTGTACCATCTCTGTTCTATGTCTTGGGGCTTTTTAAGCATCTCTCATGTGAATGTATCACATTTTGAGCTAATTAGAGCTTAGTTTACACCATTTTTTTCATAGGCTTGTGAGCCCATGACATGGGCAAAGTGTTTTTTTAATGGGCTTGTATCTGCACACCACAGAGTTGGTGACCCAGGGAGCTGGTAGTTGCCAGTGTAGGCAGGCTCCCGTGGGATTGTCTGCAGGCACAACTGGTTCTTTGGTTGGATTTACTAGTAGGGATCTCCTTTTTTGCACTTGGGTGGCTGAGTTTGGCCTGTCCTTCCCTGGTCTCTGTGCAGCTGGATGTCCTCCTGGTCCATGGTGCTGTGGTTTGGCCTGGTGAGTTGGGCCTCCAGTTCCCAACAAGGCACTGGGAAGCCAATACCCAGATTTTCCACCAGCACGTTCCCACAGACACCCTGGAAGGAGGAGATTCATGGTCTGTTGATGTGTGTGTGTGTTTTTAACAAGCCATTGCGTAGGCACAGCTGTGGCTGGGACTGGTGAGTTCATGGAAGCCACTAAAACCTCAGTGACACAGACAGGACCCATGCACCCCGGCAGATTGGGGAGGGGGATTCCAGGAGCTCTCCTCTTCAGTGCACTTCGCTTTTATACGTTGCAGGTAAAGGTGAGCATTGTTTCTCCTCTCCAGAAGCTTCCCTCTGCTCTAACCATGGAATTGTCTCCATCTTCCCTTGTATTTTCTGACTTCTAGCATCTGCCAGATCCAACTGGGAGCTGCCTGCTGGTAATCAGCATCCCCCCGGATGCGCTCCTCCCTGGCTGACTCAGTCGGCCCTGCCGCTTCGGCACAGCCCTTCCGAGCAGAGAAGAAATTGCTCTTTCTGCCCTGTCTGTCTAAAGCTTCCCCTCCCAGCCCTCCCAGCAGCTGAGTCACTTCCTTCTTTAAATCTGGCCTTAAATCTTCCTTTTCTCTTTAGCCCGTGGTTCGCTCCCTTTGCAGAGCTCTGTCGGGAGGATGCTGAACAGTGAGATGCTCCTGGGGTGAGCCGCCCTCCTTGTCTCGGAGCCACAGCAGTGAGCTCCTCTCTGAGGGCTGGGCCCTGTGCCTGCTAAATGGAGTCTCTCAGTAGGAGAGTTTCTCTTATCTCAGTGTTTCTTTCAGTGCTACATCTGACGTAGTAATAGGAGCCAGCTCCTGCCTGCGGGCGAGTGCGTGTAATTTCCTTTGACATCAGCATGTGCCTGTGAGGGAACAGCTCTACCCCTTCCCACCCTGTTTGATTAGATTCAGTAAGAGTCATTACAGCATCTCTGCCACTCCTCCTTGTTGCTCGTGGGATTTAAGGAGCATTTCTGAAATGTGCTCAGAGCAAGGAAACCTTCGATATCTGCTTCTAAAGCCTGGAGATATTTTTAGTGTAACAACTACGCACTTCAAATTTTTATACTATGATACTGGTTTTTGTCCCTTATCTGCTCATTTCCTTGGCCTTTGATCCTCTTGTGTCTAAGTGTCTTGCCATTTCACAGTTTCCTGGTGTGGAGAGACTCACCAGTCAACAGAGTATTAAAAGATGTTACCATGAATTAACAGTGTGGCACTACTGAACTTGTCTAGACTTGCTCCGGTTATCAGCAAAGTGTGGGATAAAATTTGCCAAGGCTTTTAAATCCCGCTTTTGTCTGGGTCTTAGGTAGTTAGGCATTAAATCCATTTCACTACCTTTGCATCTTAGGCATACAAATACTCAAGGTGCTTAGGAAAGCATCCTGTGGGTGCCTTGCCCCCAGAGTTGGGGCAGAAAGGGGTAAGGCCAGGGACCAGACCTGGTTTTATGAGGGTCTGGTGGTTTCCACAGCGCAGCGGTGCCCACACTGGTGCCAGAGGTGTAAGAGCACATTAATGAAGCATTTGGGATTAAATGAGTGGTCACTCTCTAGGGGAAGGGTCTGTTTGTGAGACTGCTGTACTTAAAAACGTGTGCAGCTGCATCTGTCTGTAGCTCGGGTTTTCTAAGATGTGACCAGTGACCATTTTCTAAAGAGAAAAAAAAAAAAAGTCATTTTCCAGTACAGTAAGTCTGCAAATAAAATGAAATCACTGTTGTAAAGGAACTTAGTTTTTGCAGCGGGGACTGGGCTATGGAATATTTTAGACAAAGAAGACTTCTTTGCTTAAAATTATTTGTACAGGAGATACAGCAATCAAGTAAATGAGAACTACAGTTTCTAAAAAATGCTAATTATCATAAGCTCTTATTTTTAATAAAGCTCCAGCAATCACATTTTTCACCTTCAAACCAGACAGCTGTTGAGAACAACATAGCATGTCCTTTGCATACTGATCTTATGTTGTGTATGTTTGTTTCCTTTTGCATAGAATGAGGTGATCAGCCAGCAGCTCTCTGTCATTTTCACTCATTGCTATGGACCCTACCCAATTCCAAAGCTGGTGGAAATTAAGCGCAAGCAGACCTCCCGCCTGGGTAAGTGTGGCTGGAAGATCCTGCCTGGCTCTCCAGGGAGAGCTGTGGGAAGGCTGCTGCTGGCCAGGTGCTCAAGGGGGCCACAAGTCAGAAAAATCTCAGTTTAAAAGACAGAACTAGAAGAAGGAAGGGCCCCAGACTTAGCCTGACCTAAAACTTCTGCTGACATCAGGAGGGTCATCAGGTGCGCTAGAGTGGGGCTGTAAATCTGCAAAGATTTGTCTGTGTTGCTAATTAGGCTGGGATCCAAGCCTTACCACCCTGGCTGGATGCAGATGATGCTGTACCTCCCAGCTTGGTCAGCAGAGCCCAGGCTGCTTTCAGGGGACTGAGAGAACACACAAGCAATTTTCCAGGACCCTTTTCCTCTTGACAGAGACTTCCTCACACAGGGAGAGTGGCCTAATAGAGCATAAATGAGTGTAGGGCCCCCAGCATCTGCTGAACTGCGGTTTGCTCCGGGTGTCAGGGCTGGGAGGCTGTGCCAGCGTCACACGGCGGGGATGGCTGGCTGTCATTTCAGCAAAGGTCATCACAGACTTCACTGCTTTGAATTCCCTTTGTCTCATCTCCATGTGGTTGTCTCAGGCTGTCCAAAATAGCTTTATGGGCTTTACTGACTAAAAACAATATCCTTCTATTCTGTTGCTTTCTTATGTCAAAACAGGGAAATATTCAGTACATTCCTGACCTCTTCCAAATTAAAGTTATTGGCTTTTTTGTTTCCTTCTTTTTGTGGTTCTAGATCCCCATTTTCTTAACAATAAAGAGATGTCAGATGTCACATTTCTGGTGGAAGGAAGACCATTTTATGCACATCGAGTGTTGCTATTTACTGCATCACCAAGGTAAAAGAGGAATATATCTCTGGTTTTTAATAAAAATAGAATTTTATTTTGTGGATTTGTGGGGGGTTTTTTGTTTGTTTTACTGTTCCAGTTTTTTTGAGGGCTAGTGGCCCAATCTTCCAAGTTTTTCTTAATCAGAACATCCCCACAGTTTATTTCTGGTTGATCTGCCAGACATTTAACAAGTGCTCCTGTCAATAGATTTTCATCCAGTGAATGATCCATGCTTCTGGCCATGTATCTGACATCATTCCACTGAGGCACGTTGGTGTGGTGCTTGTCACTGCACCCAGTTCTCAACCATACAGGAGTTGTGATATTTTGATTCTTAATAATTTATCTTGTGGGTGGTTAAATCCTGCCTTGCATCAGTTTCTGCACTCTCCAGGGAAAATAACCTATTATCACCTAATTCTTTGACAGCATTTGACAACTTTTAAATAAAACTAAATAGCTATGAAGCATACCATACTTCCAAAGTATGGCATACTGTATCCAAAGGCAGTATTTATAGTCTGTTTCCTGTGCTCAGAAGGCTGAATGTGGGCTACCCAGCTCAACCCAACCCAAGATCTGCTCACAAATGTTATTTGTATGCAGCAGTATAATTCAAGGTGTGCTTTTAAACAAGACTTGCTGGCCCTCCATAACAGCTTATTTCAAGACGTGGCAAGGACACAGCACTGGGTTTGGATAGTTTAAGCAATATGGGAATTGGTGCTATAGGTGTGCTGCCAACCCACAGCACAGAGTAAAGAGATTTGCATAAAGTAGCTGCAGTTCCTGACCCTGCCTTCCATTAAGAAATGGATATTGGAGTTTAGAGCCTCTTGGTAAATGTACAAATATGTTCCAAACTGCAGCTTTAAGCCTACTAAATTGTGTTCGTAACAGAGTTTGGCACTAGTGAAAGCAAATAAATTGTTACCTGTATTTCAATTAACAAAATGCAGTCATGATATGGAAAAGATTACCATCCAGTGAATGGATGGTCTTGATAGATAAGCCGAGCTTTGAATACTGCTGGGAGGTCAGATGAATTATCAAAGAGAGGAAGTACAAGGGCAGGAGTTTCTGTCAGCACATTTCCCATTTTTGCCTTCTGATCAATGGAATACCTGGTTTTGAGAAGTAGATTGTTACATATGTATATATCTCACATAAGTCTGCAATTATTAACTAAAAATATGCAGGTTTTTTTGTCCTGAATGTTGTATCTGAATTTCAGGTTTTGAGAATCAGAGAGAAGCAACCTATCCAGTTTTCTCTCCTGCCTCTTCTTGCACAATTACCCTGAGTGTGCATAGGAGCATTAAAAGTCTTAGTGCAGTTTTTTTAATATTTTGTTCCAAAACATTTCTTAAACCAGCATAATGGACATAAGCCAAAATGTATTGCCTTCAAAAAAGGAAAACATTCAGGTTTTAAATGTTGCAAATCTTCATAAAAGATCATGTTGCCTTCAAGAAAATATTTTGGTTCTGTAATATGCGTCATTACAGAATCTGAATTTTGGATGTACATTTTATTCCATTCTTACATTAGATGCATTTTTCAAAAATTTCAAATTGAAATCTTCCAGAGAGAGGCTTCTTCCTTTTGGTTTGAACTTCATGTTAGTGTCTAAATATTGATGCTTTTTGGTGACAAATACGTTAATTTCAGTATACTGTTTCTGCAAGAGTTGATGCTGTCATTCTACTGCACTTCTATAGTTTTTACTGCATTTTTCCACAGAGATAATTGGGCTGGTATTTCAGTTTTTCTCCTTTTTATTTAGGTTTAAAGCACTGCTGTCTAGCAAGCCCTCATCTGATAGTACTTGTATTGAGATCAACTATGTGAAGTACCCCATCTTTCAGGTACGGTCCTCACGCTGAATTTGAGTGGAACTTGTAAGAGGAACACCACGCATGCTCTGTCCAAATTAGTACCTATGTATGTGATAAAGCAGAGCAGCGGTTTCACAAGCACAGGCTTCATCTCTGTTCGAGCACTGCAGAGTGCTATTGATTGCAATGTGCCCCAGCAGGTGCAGCAACATGCATTTCACTGACATGGGCTGTGCACACAGCGTGCTGCCTGTCAGCATAAGGCACTTCTTTCTCTAGTTGGCTCTTCCTGTATTTAATGGACAGGTTTGGAAGAGACACGCTCCACTCCCTTCCTTAGCAGTGCTCTCCAATCAGTTTCTTTGCCATGAAAAGGCAGAGCTTGCTCTCTGTACCTGTAGCATCTACATGGTTATGCTTCCCTTGCTTTGAGCTGGAGCTCCATGTATCGACCGTTCCCGCTGCGCATAATTCCCAGCTGCCTACAATAACTGTGCTCCCCACAGAGGGATCCTAGCTGGATTGTGTTACAGTGCAAAGCCTCCTCCACCTCTTTCTTATCATCCATGAGTGCCCACACACAGCTGGATGAAGGTGGCCTTTGCCAGGGAAGGAATAAGGGAATAACTATTATATATGCTGGATTTGTCTGTATCAGTGATGTACTTCACAGACTGGGAAATACACTGAAAATTCAAAATGAATTAATCAGTTTCCTGCAAACTGTTTGGAGCTCACCAGGAAGTCCAGACAATTTGAGGGTGAGGGTTGAGACATTAGATAGCCTGTGAGAAGGAAACACTGAGCTTTGCAGAGAGAGAGAGAATCAGGAGGCTTGAGCCATTTTTACCTACAAATCCGTGGTGGTGTTAGGAGAGCCTTGGGAATTGCCTGTGTTGTCCCCTGTTCATCTATGTCTTGGATTGGTTTTTATATACACTCCCTTTCTTTTATTACAGCTGGTTATGCAGTATCTTTATTATGGAGGTGCAGAGTCACTCCTGATTAAAAATAATGAAATTATGGAGGTAAGAGACATTTATTTAATTGCAGTGGGAGCAATACTGACTGATCTGTGTACCATTCACCTGAGGGCACATGGCCATTGGGCAAGACCTGAGCACTCCTGTAAGAGCCAGCAGTGCTTCACCTGAAGTGCCCAGGCTCTCTGCAGTTCTGCAGGAGACTGGGAGACTTTGCAAATACCTCCTTAGAGGCAAAGCTGGTGTTACCAAAGTCTGGAACCAATTTCCAGCAACTCAGTGTTCCATCCTCCCTATCTCAGCAGCATTAAAGACATCCAATTTGGTTCCTCACATGGGAGAAGTCTTGGGCATGTGCTGGGCTTTAACCATGAGAGAAGTCCACTGGAGACACAGTTCAGTTCAATTTCAAGCATGTGATTCTCAAAGTTTATTAATATAGCCATAATCTACTCTCTGAGATACAGAGACTTCTTTGCCCCTTTCTCACTGGATATAAAATGTCCAGGTGCTGTGGTGGCCTTTTGCAAAAGCCAAACCAAAGCCAGCTGGAGCTGACTGAACCTTCAGTGTAGCCATGCAACCACAACCTTAGGGACATTAAGTCATTCCCTTCCAAATACTGTGTGCCATCACAGTCAGCTGTGATCAGCAAAACCACTCCAGCTATACAGAACTAAGAGGTGTTTGAGCAAATTCTTGATAGTCATTCAGGGAGTTTTCAAGCAGCCAAAAAGAATGCAGGTCAGTAAATATTGAATTCAGAGCTACTTAGACAGCTGGTAACCATCAGTGTCTGCCACCACCATCACAGGGTCATAAAATATCTCAAGTTGGAAGAGACCCGTAAGGATCATCAAGTCCAACTCCCTGCTCCTTGCAGGGCTGTGTAAAGCTAAACCACATCACTCAGAGTGTCATGCAGATGTGCCTTGAACTCAGGCAGGCTTGGTGCCATGAGCACTTCCCTGGGGAACCTGTTCAGTGGCTGACCACCCTCTCAGTGGAGAGCCTGTTCCTTATGGCCAATTTGCACTTCTCCTGGTGCAGCTCCTTTCCATTTCCTAGTGTCCTGTCACTGTTCCACTGTTGCCTGTATTGTTCTGTCCCTGTAACACTACAGTCTGGCAGCCAGAGGATGGAACTGGTCAGGACTGAAATTGCCCCTCTCTAGTGGAAGTAGTGGATTTTTAAGTAAGCATATCCACATTGACTTCCTGAGCTGTATAGGAAAAGTTCACTAATTCTCTATTTCACTCAGAGTTTTGAAAGACCTCCTGAATTTCTAACCTTTTCTGAAATAGAGAATCTTAGACTAGGCAGTGCAGTGGCTTTATAGAGATGTGTGTGTTATCACCTAGGCTGTTAAAAAGCTTGTGCTGCATTTCAGCTGGCAGCTTGCTCTACTTTTGTGACATCTCAAAACTTCTGGGACTCCAGAATGTATGACTGATTGATTGATCTCTTGATAACAGATCTGTCCATGGTTCCTCACAGCTTAAAGTAATTACAAACCAGCACATGACTGCTTGAGCCACAGAGGCAGCTGGAATAGGATTTGGCTTTATCTTTCAAAACTGCATTTAGTAACTTGCCTTATTACAAATATGATAACAAGAAGCACCAGAAATACTCCACAGAAATCTTTGCTGCAATTCATAATTGGGGCCAGCTGGCTGCTATCACATCAGCACTGTAGATTTCCAGCACTTGGATTTATTTATGGGATTAAAGTAGATCTTGAGCAGACTGCATAGGAGAAGTCAGAATAATGTCATGGAAGTTTTATGGTTTTGTTTCTTCCCCAGTGCAGCATAAGAGCCCCTTTGGGATGCACAGGTTAGCTTTTTGTTATGAGTCCCAAATAATAAGGGCTGTGTAAAAGCCTGAATACCTGAATAAGTGCTATTTAAACACGTGAACAGCTCAGCCTAAGGTCTGGCTGGGTTACAGCAAGGTGTCCAGCAATGAAGAACTCCAACCTGCTTTCTAAGGCAGAGCAGAGAGCCAGAGACATGACCTATCATCGAAAGACAGAAAATGAAATTACTTTTCCCTGCTGTAAAAGGACAGAAAAAGGGCAACAGAGGAAATCTTAACACTGCTGAAATCAGTAGGAGAACTCAAAATTCAAGCCATTTTCACCTCACAGGCATGCAGAGATGCCAAGGCAGTGCCAGGGTAGGCAGTACAGCCACAGTGGGGATGGAGGGCCAAAGAGGCGGGTCAGTGCTGGTGTCAGGAGAGCTGTGGCAGAGCGGTGACAGACGTGTGGCACCCACATGAATGCTAGGGAGGCATTGCCTCACAAAGCTGGTTCCCAGCTCTCTGCACTCTTTCCTTGGAGCAACATGGTCTGCAGACAGTGCTTCTGGCCTGGATATCCCCTTACAGCTGCTCACAGGCTAGGACAAGGAGCATATGGAGATCTGATTCTGTTCCCTTGAGCCTGCTGAGGTAGCAGATTTGAGGTTTATTGTCTCTCTAGATTAAGACTGCCCAGGATGGTCATCATTGTTTGGTTTGAATTCCTCTACACACTTGATCCTCGTCTTTCTGCTGACTTCCCAACATCCAGTCCAGGTGCTCTGTTTCAATAAGATCTTGGGGAACAGTTGAAAGTTGAACCAGAACTTTGGGTTTTGGGGATGTATTTGCAGGTCCCTTATTGGAGAATCATGTTTGCAAAGTGACAGAATATTCTTCAAGCCGCTCTTTCCTTTTTCTCCTTGTCCCATTCCAAAGTCAACATGTGGACCTGAGCAGCCTTTGGTGTTCTCTCTGTGTAGAGATTCCCACTGTGTGATTTAGATGGGACTGCAGAGGGTTAAAACAGCCAAGCAATCTTCTCATTCTGACTTTTTTGTCAGTACTTTCATGCTAACTGAAGAAGGGGCAGAGAAAAAAATATAATGAAACAGTAAAGAAGCAAGCTCTGATTCTGTATCGCTCAGCAGTTTTTGACTATTTTTTCCATGCCTTTTGTTTTTTTTTAGCTTCTCTCTGCTGCTAAATTTTTCCAGCTTGAAGCTTTACAACGACACTGTGAGATCATTTGTGCAAAAAGCATTAATACAGAAAACTGCGTGGATATTTATAATCATGCCAAGGTAAAAATAACTGCATATGCTTGCATGTTGTGTGTCTGCCATCATCCTTGTGGGTCAGTTTGTGAAAAACAGATACAGATATATTTATGTATGTATATCTCATTTGTTGCATGTTTAAGATTTGCCATTCATTTACTGGGACTGACTGATTAATAGGTTCCTGGTATAGTGACAATCGAAAATGAGGTAGTCCAAGTCCAAGGTGGCAGCTTCTCAGCCCCTTCCCTGAGTGGTTCAAACTCAATTTGAGTGTACCACTGTGCAGGAGATCTATCCCTTATTCATGGCAACACAAACTGCTGAGCTGATTCTACAGGAATCACTAAGTGATGTAGGCATCTCTGCTTTCACCTTCCAAGATGCATTTTCCCATTTCCATTACCTGTTTCTTCCTGCCTGAAGCCCAGTGGGGTGATACACTCAACGCCAGTGACACCTTGTCAATATATAAAAATGCCACATTGTGGAAGTGCAATGGCTCAGAGCCCTGCAAGGATGGTAATGAGAATTTTATGTCTTGGAGAGTTTCTTATTGGAATCAAATTATATACTTAGCTTGTGAGGTTGCCTAAGTCATTAGACACAAAAGCGTGACATTTCTTGTCCTAGAAAACCTATTTACACGCATTGGTGGAGGTGGTTACCACATTGATTAGTTTCAGTTTTTTCCCTCCTCATGTGTAGTAGTTAGATTTTCACTTGGAAGATGGAAATGACGCACAAATGTAAGTGCAGTGAAATATTCTTCAAGCATTTCTTTAAGAGATTTTTTTTCTCTAACTTGCGTGGTCTATACAAAAGATAAACTGATGCATTGAGACATGGAGGTTTGATTGAACAGAGCAGATTGCTCCAAACCCCTGCAGATCTGACCTCTATTCCCATCATCAGGTATTTCCTACAGAGAATAGTAATGTTAGGTCTTCATGTACAGATAACTTGCAATCAATGTTTGAAATAGCACAAAGGTCCACCTATAAAAATAAGCAATGAAGTATATCTGCAGCTCCATTTAATGTAAGAGGAAAAAAATTACAGTGCAGGAATCATTTGAAAAATATTTGATTTGTCTTCTAGCTCATGTGCGAACTTCTCTATTCGTATTGCTGTCAGTAAAAATAATAATTTTGCTTTAAAGTCATGTTTTCTTTGAATTGTGAAATGGGGCTGTTATTTACATCCTGATTGAAGAAAATTCTTACATGCTGGGACTTAACAAACCCAGTGGCTAAATCCAGCTCCTGGTTTGCCTGTAAGAGCCCCAGCCTGCAAGGTTTCTGAGCCTGCACCTCCCAGTGGAAGCAGTGGGAATGAGGTAGTTGGGTGGGTTTTACAGCCAGAGTCGTGTTGGCACTGCTGTGGGTAGGGCACTGCAGCAACAGCCAGCCTGGCTGTGCCTGAATCTTTGACTTCTGGAATTAGCTGGGTTGGAAGGGACCCTTAAAGATCATCTAGTTAGAACCAAGGTCAGGGACACCTTTCTTGACCCTGGTGCTTTGCAAGCTCATCTGCACCTGCAGGACCTCCCCTGCCTTTCCAGAGGGGGATGTGTGAGCACGTTGGCCCAGAGACATGTGGAGCACAGCCTTTGTCATCAAGATTGAGAGAAAGCTACAGTTTGGTGGATGGTCCCTTGCAGGGCCAGGAGTTGGACCCTGATCCTTGTGAGTCCTTTCCAACTCAGTGCATTCTGTGATTCTGTAATGTGGATTTGGTCATATTTACAAATAAAAGGTGACTAGAGAGTACTGAGATCATTAATATCCCTATGGGCTTTCCATTTTTAGAATTGCAGTCATGGAATTGCAGAATACCAGCTTGAAAGGGACTTCAAGGATCATTTGGTCCTACCTTTTTTTTGCAAAAATGCAGTCTAGACAAGATGGCCCAGCACCCTGCCCAGCTGAATCTTAAAGTGTCCAATGCTGGGAAATCCACCTCTGCTGATTTTTTTCAATGGCTGATTATTTCCATTTCTCCTTAAAGCATGAAGTTCTGCATGACAGCTTTCTGCAGTCATATGCCCCATCCTTGCTAAGGACAGCATTCTTGAAACATGGTCTGTAATGTTTTCCCAAACCTGTATTTTTAGGGTGTAACTTCTAGCATGAAATCATGTGTCTGGTAAGCTCTGTGGTAAAACTCCCATCAATTTCCAAGGGAGAAAAGCGCCAGCCTGTGGAATTTGGTTTCCCCAACAGCCAGGGTCTTTTAACATGGAATTACTGTGAGAATCATCAGCATAAAATACTGTTTTATTAACTCCTTCCTCTCCACACATTCGTAACTGTAAGTAAGGGCATTCTAGACTGTGTCTGTCTGAAGGGCTTAGCTTGTGTATTTGTTTGTGTGCAGCTCTTATGCACTGTATTTGCAGCCTGAGTTTTATCCGAATGGTTATCTTTCTCTAATTCCACTTCTTGTAGTTCCTCGGCGTCACAGAACTATCTGCCTATTGTGAAGGCTACTTCCTGAAAAATATGATGGTCCTCATTGAAAATGAAGCTTTCAAGCAGTTGTTGTATGACAAGAATGGAGAAACATCTGGTCAGAATGTACTAGAGGACTTACAGAGGACGTTGGCCACAAGGATTCAGTCAATTCATTTGTCTTCTTCAAAGGGCTCCGTTGTGTAAAGCTGAGGAAGATGGGAACCCTCAAATCAAGGACCCTGCAAGTTAAGTCTGCTGTTGCAGTTGCTTAAATGACTACAAAAAAAGAAAATGTAAAAAATTCTACGTCGCATCCAAATAGTTCTGTTTCGGCCAAAGGTGCTGCACTGGGGCTGCATCCCCACCTGGATGAGAGAATACAGAAAACAAAAGTTCCTCCCTGGTTTTGAGCAAGCTGGGTACCAGAGTATCCGGTGAATTGCTCTTGTACTCACATTCTGAACACGAGCCTGTTCGTGGAGCTTGATGCCAACAAAAGCCAGAAGTCACATCAGTGAACAGCAGAAGTCCCTGCCTGAAGGGTAGTGCTGGGGAACACCTGAATTTACCAATTAATCATTTAAGTCAGATTTGTTCCAGTGTTACACAGTTAAGAACTATATCTATCCCAGAGTCCATTATCTCGTGCATTTAAGAAATGTAAGAACTGTTATTGCTGTCCAGCAAAGATCAGCTGTATTAGAGAGTGGGTAAGACTGTTGAGGAAATATACTGGCAGATTTTTAGGGGTGGGAACTTTTTAAACTGTTCATAAAAAATAATGGGGTGGCCTTGTTGTTTAAAACCTATTTCTTAAGCTTAAAATTTCATTTTCAACAGAGCTGTGTTTGAGAATCTATGTAACATGTTTTGGTTTTTTAAATGGTAAAATGTACATTGTGTAAACACACATATGGTCAAGTTTTGCTTGTATTCTTTCCTAGGGTGGTATAATCTTGCCTGAGAGGCTATGGTTACACCAAAGAGGCACATTACCCAGACTGTCTCTAATACAGTAGTTGGGGGGGCAGGAGAACTGCATGCTACTCGTGATTTGGGGTTGAAATCAGTGACAGACTCAACAAACATGCGTTTGCATGGTAACTGTACCCGTGAAATGTCGTGCTTCTTTTCGCCAAGACAAATGCAATGTTACTTCTTGTCAAACTTCATTTGTGAAATTAGCTTATTTTTTTATCTGGTGCGATTGGCTGCGATGCGATACCCCTGGAGCTCCTTCTCGAGGTGCTGATTTCCGTTTGTTGCAGTGGAGAGATGATAACAGATCTTCACTTTAGTGATGTGTGGATATTTTGCTACTGGCCAGAGACTGTGTCTGAGTTAGACTTTTTAAAATTATAATTAAATATGTACTATAGAATGATTTCTCACTGTATCCTGAGAATGTATAGGTAATCTACAAATGTGGGAGTGGGGTGGGGGGGTGTGATTTAAATGTCAAAGCTTTGTTTATTTTGCAGCATATTATTAGCAAGACAAATCTGCTACGTGCCACAGCATTCTGGATGCCCTCTCTCTGAAAACCACAGTAAGAAAGTAGGCAAAGATGTTGCCTTCTCCATGGCAAAGTGACATTAATATATTTATTTTCTAGCGTGCCATTCTAGGAAATTTAGAAGTTTGTATGTTAACCTCTTTTGTTGAAGCATCTACATCAGGTGCCCTTCCCACTTCCAGCTTTTGATGTGCTCAGAGAACACAGTTTTGGCTTTAGCTATCAACAGAGTAGGAAGCTGTTTTATTTACATATTGAGGTGTGTAAATCCTCCTTTATGCTTGGTCTTCTAAAGTGTCTACAGTTTCTGCAACAAATGACAAAATGTCTGAATTGCCACTGATGTTGCAGAGACACAGCTTGTCAGTCAATTAGATCTTGTTGTCTTCATAGTAGGTATTCACACAAGATGTTGTCTGGAACTTTAAAAGTAATGGCTACTCCTCTGTGAATGTTGTGATCATAGAGAAGCAAGACCATAGTTAATACAAGAGCAACACACAGGGGTGCTTGTTGTTGCTTGGTGTGCCTTCACATCTGTGGAAACACATCCTTCTATGACAAAAGTTACTAGCTAAGAGCAGGCCTCACCCTGCAGCCTCATGGTTTAAAAGAGCTAAGTTTTTCAAACAATAATCAGTAAATTAAATGGTAGGGAAACACTGGTAGCTCCATGCTAGTCCTTCAGTGCTAAGGTTCACTAGGTTTCTTCCAGCAGTAAAGGGCTTAATTGGCCTTTGGTGGCTGTACATGGGGTGGTCACCGTGTCTGGGCACCCTGAGCTGTTACAGGAAGGGACTGCAGCTCAGGACTTACACAGGAATAACTTTTGCCCTTGGAAATGCTGGTAATCCAAACATCACAGATGTATAGCAGAAGGAAACCTTAAGAATAAAGAGTCATAGCTTTCAATTCTTTTTTGACCAGTGGTCCCCAGGACTTTTGCCAGCAGAAAAGCCAGCCTGTGTAAACCTGGCATTCATTTCTGCTGGAAGCAGCCAGCAAACCTTTGTGGATCCACAAACCAGAGTTTGGAAATGGTGATTTTAGTCTGCCTCTTCTGATGTGAGGCTGGGTGAGGTCCAGCTGAATCATGCCAGACAATGTGCAGCTTGCAGGCTCTTCAAAAACACAGTCACAGGGATCCATGATCTTCACTACTCTCTTAATCAGAAGGTTTTCCTGAGACTTTAGAATTTCTTCATTGCAAATCAAGCCACTTTTCCTTCAAGTCCTGATTAAAAACAGATGATCTTACAAGATCTTTTTAGGAAGTTATTCTATGTATGAAAGGAATTATCCTCCTTGCATCACTAGTATAGTCTGTTCTAGTTCCTTTGTTAGTGTTTTCTAGGATTTTTGCTGTCATTTCCCTCATGGCTTCCCGTTTTCCCCAAATTTCCATACTTTGCAGGAGTTTTATACATGAACAAGAGAAGCAGAGAAACTGTTGCTGTTGTTGTTGCTTTTTTTATGTAAAGCATATCAGAAAATATATCCCCAGATATTTTCTACAAGAACATCCCATGGCTGACTTTGATCTAGTCTGTCTTAAAATTCCTGAGGGATTCATTGTTTCCTTCCCTGGAGTTCCATCTTTATTTGTGCATTTATTTACTACACCTTTCAAAGTGTGACACTTTCCATTTCTCTTTATTAAATTTGTTCTGCTCTAATCAGGGCAATTTCCCCACTTCATCAACATCAATTGCAATTCTGATCGTGTCTTCTAGCCTGTTTCATAATCTCCGGCCTTTATTATATATGTGGCTTCATGCATGGATTCTTCATTCCATCTGGGGCTGGGGGGAAGGGCTCTTGTCAAATTAATCTAAAAAGCAATGTGAGTTTCAGTGGGTGCCCATGAATACCATCCCTATCAGATAAGGCTCATTCCAACAGAGCATTTTATTAGCATTTTTTTGAGACATAGTGTTATCATCATAGAAAATAAAAAGCTTTCTCTTCCTTTAGTCTTTGCATAGTTGCAATAATTTACAAATTTTGAGGTCAAATATTGCCATCAATCTTGGTAAAATGAAAAAAAAAGTACAACATCCTTAGAAAAACTTAGGATTTTCTTTTTTAATCATAATTTTCCAGCCTGTAATGAGTGAAGGTGCCTTTCCATCTGTCATTTTTATACTAATCCACTGCTGTAATATTTGAGGACTTGGAGACATCCTGTCCCTGCCTCATGGCAGATCTTTCTTTATATCCCTATATGGTCCTCCCTTAGTTTCCAGAATTTCCTCCCATTCCCACTTGGCTTCACGTGCTGCCAGTTTCCACACTTCCCAGTTTTTTTATTCTAGAGCCCTGCTAGATTCCTTCCCAAGCCCAGAAGTGGTATCTGTGTTGTCCTGAATAGTTGATTTTCCAATAACTGGTTAAAGAGTTGAGAAGAGAAAAGGATGGGGAATGTAGGAGGGCAAAGGCTTTGGACATCACAGGGGAAGGCTGGCATTCTTTTCAGGATAAATTTCAGCACTGTCTACTTGTTTCTCTGATTTTCCCCTGATCTATTCCTTAGGCCTGCTGTCCTCTAAACACAGCTGGAGGCCAGATGCTCTCTGTTCTGGAACAGGGCCAGCTTTTTAATGGCTAAGACTATTTTTTTTCCCCAGCTAAAACTTCTGCCTGCTTGGTTTCAGCTCCAGAGCAGATTTGTGCAAATGTCTATTAAAGACAGAGGAAACATCTTTCAAGAGGTGTGAAGGTTTAGTAGCCAGGCTCCTATTGGCACTAATGAGAGCTGCTTGCTGAGTCCTCCACATGCTGCTTTGGACACTGAGCCTTTTTCCACTGAATGTCCACTGGCTTCATACCAAACATTGCACAAGTCCTGGATGGGCTGTGGTGTGTGGTGTGCTGGGGGCTTTCATAAATTCTAGTTTTGTTTCAAAGCATAGCAACGTGTGCTGCTCTTTAAAGGCTAGAAAGAAAAAGGGAAGTGGTCAGTTTGCACTGAAATAAACTGCTCTGAGGTGGTGCAGTGATAAAAAGGAAAGGGTATCTCTTCTTCCCAGCTGTACCTGCCTAAAATCAGAGGAGGGTTCTGTTACAGTGTGGAATGCCACCAGGTCTGTGGGACTCTGCAGGACCCTGTTTAAGTGGGGTTTTCTAAAGCTAACACATTCACATACTCAAGGCAAGGATTAGGCCATCCTAGAAAAAAGCAGCCATTCCTAGTGCTCCTGTCTATGGGTAAAATCCTGGGAGAAGCTGGGAACCTACAGAACTGGCTGAAGTCAGTTGTTCATATTCAGGGTCCCTCAGGAGCTGGCTCTGTCTTAAAAATACTGCTGAACAATGATGGCCTGAAACCTGCATTCACTACAGTTGCCTCTGAAGCCACTGGGATTTGGGTCTTTTGTTGGTTTTGGTTTTTATTTTGTTTGTTTGTTTGTTTTATTTTGGTTTTGGGTGTGTCTTTTTTTTTTTTTGGTGAATGGGAGTTACCTAAAGCCAAAGCCTAAGTTAGTTTGTTTGACAAAGTGTCTTTCATGTGAGGCTCTGCACGTGCTTTGAAGAAATGAAGGGCCTGATGTTGCTTCCCATCCTCTGGCACAGAGATGTTAAGATTTCTAAGAATTAAAAAAGCTGCCTAGGATTTGTCTTAAAATTCAACAAACTAGTTTTCAGGAAGTTAGCCTTGAAATAGCCCTCAGATAATATCTGAAACCCCATAGATGAGAACATTACTAATTTTAGATGTCAACCTAAAAGCAAACAAACCTGCAGCACTTCCATACATTTATAGCAAAATTATTATGTTATTTTTTAACTTGTTATTTATTTTGAGGTAAGGCCTGTAATCTTCAGTGGGTGAGAACAGAGGCTGCCCACTCTGACCAGATTATCACATCTCGGTACAATTGCCCCTGACCTGCTATTTGTAGCTGGCCTTCAAGTGCAGGAAACAGCAAAGCCAAGTCTTCAGCTGTGGCTCAATGCTCCGTGACTTCAGTGAGAGCACTGCTGAGAATATTATGCATGTGGTGCCCAAAGCAGAAGGAAAATCTGGAAACCTGCAGAAAGACTAATGGGAATTTGTCAGCTGCCTTCAGTGAGCCTTTGAGCTAGGGAAGCAAGCCCAGTGTGGGTAGGAGGAGGGCATTCCATTTCTTTTTGTTGCCATTAAGCTGTCATTCATTCAACACTGTCCAAGCTTCCTGCATGCAACAGCCATGAATGGCCTAGAGTGTGTTTATCTTGGATGCCTGCACAGGACTTAAAATGCAGTATCTCACCACCTCAAAGTCAAGAGTCTCATCTTGAGAGATGCTTTACTTGGACTGCTTTACTTGGACTGCTTGTCGCTAAAACACCCAGGAGACATGGCAGCACCTTAGAAGAGAGGTGGTGTCACCTGGATAGGTTAAATTCTATAAACACCTTGTGCTTTGCATGTTTTTAGTTGGCTAAATCTGTCCACTTGATTGTACCAGAGGAGCAACTTGGTTTTTTTTTTTCCTTTGGAGAAGCATTTTTCACCTTTCTTTGGGCTGACAGTTTTGTTCTTTCATCCTGTGGAGGTGGTGACACGGTGGTAATGGGTGTGCTTAGCTTAGGCACAGGTTTCTGCCTGTGCTGGATGGCACACTAATGAAGAGGTCTTAGTTAGGGAAGAGGATTAGGTACAAGAATTTGAATGTGTAACCTCAGATCTTTGCCTCTGATTCCAGAGCTATAGTGTTCAGTGTTGCCTAATTCATTTGTTCCCTAAAAGTTTCCATGAATCCAAAGGGAGTGTGAGAGCAGGAAGAGGAGAAGCAGCCCCATCTCCCACCACTTGCTTGGCATTCCCAAACAGCCCAGTTGGCTCCAGTCTCTTCAGTGCTCACACAGAGGTTTGGTCCCATGCTCAGGTATGGCCATGGAGTTGAAGCAGCTGGTGGCACTTTCTTGTCCTTAAAAATATCTCCACTGCTGCTGTTTAATTTTGGTCTTTCTATTCCCCATCATCTCTGCTGCTGTGGTATCATTAAAACTTCCATTATTTGGCTTTGCTCAGCACAGTGAGAGGCAATCTTGTTTCCTACTGCCTTCCTAAAGCAAACAAAGACAGGGAAAAAGCCTTGCTGAAATACCCAGTTGAAAATAATTTATGGTTTACAATAAGCCACAAAAGGAAAGGGAGATGCTCAGAAACAAAAAAAAAGAGACTGTCACTTCAGGAAAACCCCGTGTGTTAGGAGGTCATTTTAATTAATTAAGGTCAAAACCTTATTCTGGCAGGGACGGATGAACATGTTTCAAAACATCTGGACTTGTTAAAGTTACAGGTTCAAGGGAGTCCAGCCTTACCCTTTCTCCTTCCCAGCAGTGGATAAATTGAATATCCTGTTGCTTACTGCGTGAGAGGCTTTCAGATGAGCCTTTCCGAAGTCAGGTTCTCTCTGTTCTGCGTAGCTTTTGAAGAGCTCACAGCGCATCTGCAGCCTGGGATTTGCCTCTCAGCACTGTCAAAACCCCCCTGTGCCCCAGTGCTGGTTGTGCCTTACTGGGGCAGAAAAGGAGCACATGAAGCCTCTGGAGCCTCATCAGAGTGAAAGCTGTTTCCCCAGCATCCAAGCAGTCTCCTGGTCAAATACTCTGCTTAACCCTGTCAGTTCAATACCTTGAGAACTGATTTTTGCCTTGCAGTTATTAAGCCAATGACTAATTGTGCCATTTGGGGATGCAGTAAAATGTGCAGTCTCTACTTCAGTTGTGAGTTATGTTTATCCACTGAAGAATACAGGGACTATAGGAATGTATCTCAGAGCTTTTTGACCTCATGTTCTTGGCTAAATTCCAATTAGTACTAGAAAAACTTGACCTATTTAAGTCCCATCAGTGCATTTTGACCAGTAGGTTGCTTCCTGTCCCTGTTTCTCTGGAGTCTTGCAGCTGTTGTGCAGCCATATGTGCTGTGCCAGTGGGGAACAGAGGTGCCTGAGCATTATGCAGACACCAAATAAATAAATCCCACTCTCTGCAGTGCAGGGCATGCCTCCTACTGATCTCTTCAGCATTATGGGGAAGGCTGAATAATGGATCTCTGCTCTTTTCAGCCCCAAGTTAGGATCAGTGCTCTTCTTCCCCATTCTCTCTTGGCTCTGCCATCTACCATAGAGAGGAGGGGAAAGAAAAACCCACAGGAAATGTCACATTCTCTCAACCTGCCCTCCCCACCCCCAGTGACAGGTGGGCTGCTAGAGAGTCCTTCAGTGCCACTCCTCTGAAAGCTTCTTGTAATGCTATTTGTACATTAGTTATCCTCAGAGTAGGCTTTTCATTAGGTTAAAGTCTGGAAAGCATCTTAAGTCATTCAGGGCAGACGTGAGATTGTAAAATACTGGAATTCCAGTCATCCATGCTGGGAACTTCTGTTTTTTTCTGTTTCTGGGTGTTGTGTTGGTTGGCTGATTTTGGGGGGGATCTGGGTTTTTTGTTTTTTTGAGGTTTTTTGTTTTGTTTTGTTTTTTTCTTGTTTTATTTTTGTTTGGTTTGGTTACTTTTTCATTGGGAAGAAAAGATGAAGCGTGTGCGATACTTTGGGTTTTGTGTCTATAGTTGTCATTGTGTGTATGTTCAAGAGAGAGATGGACAGTAAATAGATCTACAGCATATGTTATGAGGTGTGAAATCATGCTTGTAATGAGATTTCTTGTTAATGGCAGTCAGCCTTCCTTGACGTTAAGCATTAATGCAATATCCATTAGTGCAGCTAAACCTTCCTCTGCTCCACTTTCCCAAATGGGTTTCACTTTGTCCCTAGTTTAGCATTAATAAATATTTGATACAGGGTTGAAGAATTAATTTACATGTTAAAAATACATGAATGTTCTGTGAAAAAATACAAGTTAGGATTCTACTATAACATCATTCACAAACCAAAACATAAAAGTGTGATGAAATTTGCCCCATTAAAATGGCTGGAAGCCTTTTCATTGATTTCTCTAGTCTGTGGATTAGGTCTGTTTTCCATCTCTTTGATACTGTGTGTCACCTTTGAAGTCTTTGCAGGCTAAATGCATCTCTGTAACCAGAAAGCACAGTCACAGTCTTTAAATGGAGGGTGATCCACTTCTGAAGGGCTGAGTTTGTGTCTTTATCATTGAAAGCAACACCAAAATTAGGAAATCCCAGTGTGAGCATCCTGAAAGGACAGAAGACCTAGCACTGTCTGTGGGACAGCTCTTTGCTTTCTTTCTCCCTCTTCACAACCATTCCCACCTGTCCCTGAGATGTCTTGGAACTGAGATCTAGGAAAGAAAAGTGGAAACAAGAGGATGTGCCAGAAATAAGATGTGCTGAACCATTGTGCTGATCTTGATTTTTTGCAGATTTTAGGCAGACTCCTAATTTGTGTAATAGTAACCCAGGAATGGTTACGATTGTTTTGTATTTGTTACGGTTGTTATGAATTTGGGTTTGGGGTTTTTTTTTCTAGCAAAGTGGTTTTGTTTGCTGCCATCTTTTGTTGGGGTTTTATGTGAAGGTTTCATTTCACTTTTTATTGAGAAGGAAATGAAAGATCACATAACCCAATAGCCATCATCAACAAGTACAGAGATCCTGTCTTGCATCCCACAGATGGGGCTTAAATACTGGTTTGTGGCTTCACAGGCATGTTTGAGGTCATCTATAATTAACAATGCAGGTGAAACTTTCTTCCCCTTTGCTTACCCATTTATGGTGGATAAAAACAAAATAACAGAGTCAGAGTATGGACAATAGGATGGCAGATGTTTTTCAATGGAGAAAGATTATAGCTAAGAAATACAAGTGTTTCTGGAATCAAATATTTTTTCTCAAAAGGACAGATAGACATCTGCAGCTTATTCAAATATGTCATTCTCTTGAGTGTGTTAAATGCTTTTGAAAATTGCCTGTTTTGTGCTGTTAATGATCCAGCACAAGCCCTTCCACTGGAGAGACTATCTGGGGGCACTCAGAACCAAGGTAGAAGGGAATGTATGAAAAATAGAGGAGCTCAGCCATAATTTGAGGTGGCAGCTTTGTTTGCTTTTTTCCACTGTGTCCACAACTTGAACATTATTTTAAAGGGTGTGTTTGTATTTCATTTCTTTTGAATCCTTTTTTTAATTGCTGCAGCACTCTCACAGTATCTTCTCGAAGTGCACCTTGGGTCACCTTAAACCCCTTTTAATGTCTGTCTGATGCTGATCCTTTTAAAATCTCCAATGAGATTGTGATTCATTTGTCACTGCTAGATGACATTTTGTTAAGGCTGTATAAAGGCACTGCAGCATGTGAAACCAGCAAGTTGATTTTTTTATTATTGCATTACTCTGAAAAAGAAAAAAAAACCTAATGAGATCTTTGTTTCTAGTGTGAAATTCTCCCCTTAGCTTGAGAGGACACGTGCAAAGCCTCTGCTGTGAATGCCTCAATATAATCAGGTTACAAAATGGAGGCGAATGGTATCACAGAAAAATTTTTGAGGAACATGACTCCAGTGGAGCAGAACATGCACTTGCTAAAGACTGCTCTCTTCCTCCGTATCTCTCCTGAAGTCAGTGGGAATATTTAATGGGAGTCACTGCAAGGCTGTATGGTTTTTTAATGCACTAGCAGATGTAATTTCCCATCCAGTCATCTGCACAGTTGTGGTTGGTACACCATAAAGGCTGAAGTCCAAATCCTGCTGTCATTGCACACAGCCCCTCTGCTTCAGCAGGGATCATAAACATGCACTTATGTTACTTGAGGTTTTTGCTGAAGAGAAATGGGAGAGGGCAGACCTTCCTTCTGCTCCTTGATCACAGGCTTTGCATTCCCAATGACTTTTATTAGAAGCATCATATATTTACGTGCTGCAGAATGAGGCCTGCGTGGGATGGGAAAGATTTTTATGAATTTAGACCTGCCTAAGAAAACAACCCTTCTAATTTTAGACAAATTGCATTCCATATCCATCTGTTTAGTGCATCAGTCTGATGTTAACTGTTTAGTAAATTGCATTTGGGCTTATTTTTTATGTCTTTTGTGGGCATTGCCTGTCATCAGCCAGTGTAAAGTAGCACCAAGGACTTCCAGACATACCCATAGGGCCAAACTGTGCCAGCTTCACACACCACAGTCCCATCAAAAGTGAGGGAAGCTGGACTGGGCACATAAAGTGCAACCCCCTTGACATCCAATTACATGTCCTGCCTCATTTCATAGAGATGGATGACATCCTGGAAAAAAACAAAACAAAACACATGGTGCCACTTCATGTGAGTTTAAAATGTATTGAAATCAAGGAAATTATATTAGACATGGCTGTAGTCTATCAAATCCAGCCCTGTGCATAGGCAGAACTCCAAGGGAAAGTAACAGGAGTTTCCATTATGGAGTTTGCAGAAGGAAGTCTGCATAATGAACATGACAAAATGTCAACTTTGTGTAAACTCTCCTGGTGGGTCTGTATAAAGGTTTTTTAAGAAATCTTCATTGGAACACACCAGAGAATAATAAACTTGCACCTTGATAGAATAGCTTTATTTGTATATACTCTGTGTAAATTTTAAACCAGAGGATACATGTCATTCCTTGTACATATCTGACTAGAATGGTGGCGGTGCTGTGCACTGCTGTTTAGGGGATCCAGCTTCTCAGTCCTGGATTTCCAGCTGTAAAGGCTGCAGGAGACTGCTTGGGACCAGCTAAAACATTGGATGGATAGATGCTCACCACTCACTGCTTAGAAATGCAGGAGCAGGATTTGGAACAGATGTTGGCTATGGAGAAGATTGCTTGCCTCTACTCCTGGCTAAAGGACAAGTGCCTCCTTTGCTGTCATCTCCAACAGAAGTGATTTATGGTCAGAGCATGGGAACCTTCAGAGCCCTGCTTGGTCTTTCAAAGGGGTCTGAGATTCAGGTGTCACGTGGGAAGGTCCGTGAAGAAGCAGTGTGTACATACATCTACCTACCTGTCTGCTACCTAATATCCCACTGTTTCTGTATTGAATGGTCTCAGTAACCTGTAAACAAGTGATTGCTCCTGTTGTGCTACTGCTTTGAAATTCTTTGCATGCACTCTGGCATATAATTCTTTAAGAAAAGAAAATATACATATTATATATACATATATATATATATTGTAGCTTGCAAAATATTCATGTTGAAGAGCCATGTTTTGTGCAAATTGTACATTTATGTTGTGAGCAATATCGCAATACGAACTTTCATTAGTTGTCAGTAGTAGATTTATCACATTATTTTTGAGCGTACGTACGTATCCTAAGCTTTCAACCTCAGGCATTAGATCAGCTACAGAAGGAGACTTTTTCTGTGCAGTAGAAATAGCACAGGCTTTCAGTAAACAGGCAGGTGTGCAAGTCCCATTCTGTTTAATGCAAGTTGCGAGGCTGATTCTTCATGCAGGTTGTCAGGCAAATACTCTCTTGTCAGTGCTGGAATTCGTGTTTGGTATGAGGACCCTGTTGCGCTCATCTAGAACAGAACTCAAACCCCAGCGTTGCAAAACAAAGTGCTTGACTCCTACTGCCCTCTGTCTCCGCAGGTGCTCCAACATGAACACAAGGAGGACTTAAGGAACTCCCAGTTCCCTGCCAGATAGCCAATGTTATATTTTCAAATGTTCATGCTACATAGTTTTCAATGTAGGGACTAGATAAAAGTGTAATACCAGTACGTCTTTAGAAAAGCTACAGTGTTTGGAGCTTGACCTTGAAACTTTCACCTGATTCCTGAACATCATCAGTGGCTTTGTTTGCTCAATGTTTACCTCTGAGAAATGTTTGCTGTAGATTTAAATGTTTAATATATTGACTGCCTTTTTTTGTATATTTGTTATCATAAAGGTTCGGTTTAAATGCTAACAATCGTGGTCTATTTTCAGACTTGAAATACTTACGGTTCTGTATTTGGAAGGCAAAGTTATTAATGAATATAGCCATTTGGTATTTTATTCCTGTTTTATACAGCTGCCCCCATAGGTTATTATCAGATAGCAATGAATATTGCTGAACAGCAGGTGGAACTCCTTTGAGTGTGTTTATGAGCCATCTCTGTTCAATAAAAATTCCATTGTTTTCTAGCCTAGGAAATGGCTGCTGCGAGTGTTTTTGTGTTTCTTCTCCCCTTAAGGTGTTTCTTGATGTATTTCAGACAGCAGCAGGCCTGGGCTTCTCCCAAGAACCATCTCCCAAAAGCCACATGTGTTCAGGATTTTACATCTGGAAGTCCTGGTGCTGTTTTCCCACACACACTGCTATCAGCATGCTCGCTGTGCATGTGAAGAAATGACACAGAGCTGGTTCCCAAAACCCTTTCTCCAGGTGCTGGTCTGCCATAAAATGGGCACATAACACCTGGGAATGATGCTTAAAATTAAGCATCTACAAGTGCATCATAGCCAGGGAGTTTGGATACGGGAAGATCCGAAAGGCTGGAAGCCTGCTCCATTATACAGCGTTACTGCAAGTGCATACAAATAAGTTGGAAATGGGTATCTCAAAGGGAAGTAAGGTATAAACAGAGGGACTTGATTAACCTTGGCATGAGTGTGAAAATCAGGTTTTAAAAATACTTTTGGTTTAGCTTTTTTTTAGCTTTTTTTTTTTTTACTTTTTTACTCCTTAAATTAATTTCCAGTGTATTCTGTCTTGTATGTTTTAGTGTATTTGAAGTCAAGTTCTTTCTTTGTAATTAGAATCTTTCTCCAGATTATTAAGGAACAGGTTGGTTCAGGAGGCAAAAGAGAGTGACATCCTTTCATGTCTTGCACATAAGCTGTGGGAGTGAGACACCACTCACACCAGACTGGGGGACTGCCCAGACCAGCTTTGGCTCTCAGGTGCCTTTAGGTTTTGCAAACTCAGCTGTCCAGGACTGGACTTTGAAAAGCAGCTCATAGGGAACCCTGCAGTTGTCCAAATTCTGCAGGAGATGTAGATGCCCTTGCCTGCCTCCCCAGTTTCTGGAAGAAAACAAAGCAAGCCTTCAGGTGTAGCAAACTGGAATGATTTGTCTCCCTTTCCCAACTGTGGATACTGAAACAAAATAAAACCGTTCTTCTGGGCATTTGAGTTGACTCTTCACACCATTCTTTGGGGATCTCTGTAAATGATGTTCTCTTCATGTTTTTTCTACAGTCCATTCCCATTTGTGTTCTTGAGGTTTTCTGTAGAGACTGAAGGCTGTGGCACACGTTCACTGGCTAATTAAGGTTTTGGTCAGTCTTGCCCACTGCTGTGTTTCCTCTTCCACAGGGCAGAAATGGACAGTGATGTAGCCCTGCTACAAAGCAGAGCTCACCTAGAGGAGCCCGGGTTTTGTCCTGAGGCTAAAGCACTGCCAGAAGTGCTTGATGTAGATCTGTTGATGGAATCAGCAGCAGAAGCAGGTGCATAACAGAAAGGTCATTGTGTGTCTCAGTTTGACTATGTAGAAGTAACATTTAAACCACTCAGAAATATTTTTTCCTAAATCTGCACAAGGTATATATACAGATACATTTCTAGGTGTGTAGTGGTAGGAGCTAAATTTTCCTATGTTAACAGAGCCTTATATTTTAATGAACATTTCTTCAGTGACTTTTATTTTGTCTGATGAGTCTTTCATGGAAAATGTTCCAGAGTAAGTGTGCAGGCTGGCTGTCTCTAAGCTTAGCTATGAAGATGTAAAACTGCAAAGCAGAGCAGGTCTGGAACCTGTGCACATATCCTTGTGGCAGGGAGGCCACCGTTCCCAGCACAACCCTGCAGCCTGGCAGGGCTTCCTAGGAGCCCCCTTGGCTCTACAAGCCAGCAGCTTGTGTAAAAAGTTGTAGTGTCCCCCTGGAATAACAAGTACTTGAAGTATCCAGCATTGAGCAACACACTTCGACACAGAGGAGATAAAGATGTGACACCTCTGAAACAAACACTGGCCCTGATGTCCCCCATTGGTCCCGTGGTGGTGGAGAGGTGCAAGTCCTCGGGTGTTTTGAGGTGTCCAGCTGACAGCAATCGTTGCAGGGATGATGGGATTCTCATTCCCAAACTCTCCAGCACAGTTTGAGGAAGCAGCTGCTTCATAAGCTCACATCTCTGATAATGCAGCTCCAGCATCCCAGTGAAGCTTTAATGTCTTTCGCACATACATCTGTTTCACACTGAGATCACACTTATTAGATGTAGCTAAAAAATAAGTGATAGACCTCATTTATTCCATAAAGTTAAACAAAGACTACCAAAAGTAGTAAGTAAGATCTGGGAGAATAAACCTTAGCACAAACCTGTTTTATCTTTCAAAGTGAGGAGATTTGTGCTCTCCCAGAGAACTCCTTAAGGAGGTCCTGGATGAAAGAAAGCCAAAGCAGCCTTCTTTTAGCTACCTGAAAACTTTCTGCCTAGTTATCAATTCAAGAGCTCTTTCCCCCAGGCTATGCAGCAGTATGCAAACAGGGAATGTCATCTCCCTTGACGAGATGCTGCCCTACTGAGAGCTGATACTTCTTTGGTTTTGTGCCACTATTTGTGCTCTGTGTTTCACTGAAACACACAGGGAATGCAAACAGAAAATCAAAAAGTAACCTTGAGGACTTAGATGGCTGCCATTGGTGTTTCAAAGTCACTCTTAAGTTCCTGACTGACTGACTGACTGACTGACTGACTGCTTTTAGCTGTTGAGCATCCCTGAGACTGCAACACTGGTATTTTGCAGATCATTTGATAAAATAGAAAAAAAAATCATCTGAGATGCCAGTGTATTGATCACTTTCCCCCTTTTTCATCTGAAGAGGTCAGCTTAACCACAGCTGTAAACCTACAGCATAACTTCCCAAACAAGTGAAATTCCCTTTGTCTTCTTGCCTACAGGCTGTAGGATTTGCACAATGAATCTTTTCCTGGCCTTGTAGTACCTCCCAGCTGTCATACTAGAGATATTTACAGTGTCTCAGAGAGTTTCATGTCTCAAGGTATATCAAGGTCTCTGCAGAGCCTTGGACATTGGAGCTCTTAAAGTTTTCCAGTAGTTGTTGGAGAGCCTGCTGGAACCAGCTACTTCAACAGCACTTCATCAACCAGCTCTTCTCCATCTGACTTCACGTGAAGAAGAATAGTCTGTGCTCTCTGGGCACCTTGACATGTCCCCTAAAACAGAAGCTGAACCTTCCCTTTCAAGCAGTCATTGATTTTTTTTTTTTCCCCACTTTCTTTACCTGGTATATCCATTCCAAAACAGAAGTTTGCTTTTATCCATCACTTGCTCCTCTGGTGAAAAACAGTAGGGATAGGTCAAATTCAGATCCAGAAACAGGGATAATGTTTCAGTGCTTTTCACTTCAAATTAAAATTGCTGTTGTCAAGTCTTGCCTTCCTTTATGGATGTTCACAGGGATAAAAAGAATCTCAGCTCTCTGCATCAGAGGTTAAGAAATGTGTCTAAGAGATTTAGGCACTGCTCTATCTGACCTCTGACTGGGGCCAGGGGAGTGGAGCTGAATCCTTTCAGGAGATCATTTTTAGGAAAGGCTCAAGGCCACTCCAGAACATGCTGTGTCATGAAAATCTCTGATGACAATTCTCTTATTTCCACAGGATCTGAGCTTGGTCCTCATGCTCTTCATGGGAGAGCCACTTGAGTGCTTGTCTGCTGTTGCACATACCTTTCTTCATGGCCATTTTTTCCATCTAGCAAAGATTCAGAGACTTCTGTCAGCTGTACAGCCTCATTCCCAATTAGGACAGCTCTGTGGATTGGTCCCAAAATTCTTCTAATGGCAGCAGAATTCCATCCAAATGAAGAAATTAACATCTGCTTTATTTACTAACCTTCCCATCTACATGGCTGAGCCATCTTTGGTCACTGAATACCAAGAAGACCATTTTTTATTGGTGTGTAATGTCCCATAAGTCATCCTTGGTGATTCCTTGGTGTGGGTGTTCTGGGCTGCAGTTCTCTTTCAGCCACATTTCTGTGATTGCCAAGGCACCGTGGAACACTAATACATTTAATAGAATGGCCTTTCTTCTGAAAAAAACAACCAAAACCAATCAGTTGCACATCCCCAGAAAGTGTATGGCAGAGAGAGGTATTGGAATCACCCAGTATTTATGGACTGGGTCTCACAGTAAAAATCATTACAACTAACTGCAGTTCTCTAAGCTATAATATAGATTGTGCACAATTGCTGCCTATTTTCCTTCCTTCCTCCTTTTCCTGCTGTCTTTTCTTTGTTGCTTCTGCTGTTCAGCCTCCCCACAGTGCTCTGATATCTTGTGATTATGTACATGGTGGGACAGAAGAGCTTGTGTGCCCCCTCTGAGTAAAAACAAGTCTGGCTCCACTTTGTTCTGCAAACCACACTGAAAATGCATACATCTGAAAATAACTCCCAAATATCCAGGAACCACAGCCACTGGAAAGTAACCCGGCTTTCTTCCTCTTGGCTGCCTAACACTCCCCTCTGCCTGTCCTCTGAGAATAGCAGCCACTTTCACAAACCTTCCCTCAGAATCTGGAGGAAGACTGAAGGTCAAACTGTGGCTGATTCTTGTATGGGA